GACCATTCTCTTGAAACCGCCCTGTTTGTAACATGCATCTTGACATGAACGGATAAAGTTTTGTGATTTTGAGAAGGGCTGTATCCTCCCTAGGAGTCATCACTCGTGAGTTCTTTACCTGGCCGATGTTATCTATCCTATCGTATGATCAATGGATCACAATCAACATCTTTTGCAACAGCCCTCAATGACATGCCAATATTCCGCATACCAGGAACTTGTGATCTTTGATCAGTTGGCCTTTGAGGAGGCCATATATTTGCTTATCAACAACGAAATACATCGATTGCCTAAGTTATTGTGCTATAAGAACAGTTTACTAACACTTGGTATTTGCTTAATGGTACATGTATTGCACGCGATGCTCACGTGATCATCGGGACGGTGGGGTAGACTAGCGGTTAAAGTCTTCGCTCGTCACACCGAAGACCCGGGTTCGATTCCTATTGTGAAATCAGGGGCCTCCGAAAACATTCGTTAAATCTCCAATAATATCAACATTCTTGACTCACTCGTGTTATTCCTGGACAAGCCGACGGAAAGGGGCGAGTGGTGACGGAGGCCTCATCTATGGTGGCTGATTAGGGCCATCGCTTTCTCGCCTTAAAATTCGGAGGCGAGCAATCGAGAAAGCAATATCACGAGACGAGAAAGTGATATAACGAGACGAGAAAGCGATAACGCGAGACGAGAAAGCGATAACACGAGACGAGAAAGCGATAACGCGAGACGAGAAAGCAATAACGCGAGACGAGAAAGCAGTAACACGAGACGAGAAAGCGATAGCACGAGACTAGAAAGCGACACCATCACGCGAGAAAGCGATAGAGCGACAAAACGATATACCAAGAAGAGAAAGCGATAGAGCAAGAAAGCGATAGAGCGAGAAAAGCAATAGAGCAATAAAGCGAGAAAGCGAGGAAGCGATATTTCACATAATTCCGCCCTGTCTGCACATGACGTCTTGCTTGCGTATGATTTAATCCAACAGGAAGCTTTATTGTCATTTGGTTTAGTCGTATAGAAACAAAATGAACATGCTTTCAAATTCTGTGGCATTTTTGTAATTAATCCTTTAACTTGTCCAAACAATAATCCAACAATAACTCCAGAAACCGAGTGTGTTTTCGTTGAAATAAATGAGTGCTCTTAAAAAGTCTGTAAAAAGGATAACAATCATTTAATTTATTGTTACATCACTAATTAGGCTTGGATTAATTCCTGGCTTACATTTCTTTATTGTCATTTCCCTTGTTAAATGCCACCATTGTTATCTCATTATTCATGCCGGGATTAACAATCCCTGGCTTCCATTTGTCCATCCACCCTACCAATTTAGCGCTAATTAAGTACTGGCTTCCCTTGCTATCTTATCACTGTTGTTTCAAATGTACGTCTTTATCTTTTTGTTTCCTAGTTTCTAGTCTCTTTATTCACACCGTGACACCAGTTACACAAATACAGAAGTTGACATCCATAATTTCTCTTAAATACCTTCAGGTTTTATGAGCCCTGTTTTTCACTGGGCTAAGCTACACATTTGCCTACTCCGCATGTTACCCGTGAAGATCCGGGTTAGATTGGTCTTCAGCTTGTCGTAAAAGGTGACTAACGGGATCGGGTGCTCAGGCTCGCTGACTTGGTTGACAATGTCATCGTAACCAAACTGCGTAGATCGATGCTCATGATGTTGATCACTGTATTGTCTGGTCCAGACTCGATTATTTACAGACCGCCGCCATGTAGCTGTAATATTGCCTAGTGCGGTGTTAAACAACAGACCAACCAAACCAATTCCCCGACGGGCTTTATTGTATCAGTGACGGAATTTTATACACCCTGTGCCTTTCATCTGGTCTTCTTATGTGTGCATATTTCACACAAATATATTTCTACTATTATGTGAAAAAAGTATTGTTCTAATGGCTTGTGTACATACGTATATGTCTGTTTGTCCCCATATCCCAACTATCGCCTTGAGACAGTGGCACAATTCATCGACCGACGTGGTAGGAGTGTTTAACAAAAACGTAATAAAATTATTACTTGGGGAATAATAATAAGTTCAACTAAGTAAGTGGTGTAAAGTATAGTGTGTCTTTGCACCTATGTTGTTGTTTTATCATCTTGTTTATAGCTTGGTCAACTCATGTCAAAACGATTCAAATCGAATGAGAGCAACAGGTGACATTCACTGGGATGCAGACAAATAAACCCTCCTACACATCTACAAAACATTTATCATGTACACACTGAAGTGAGTCGCTCCCGTCCTTCTCTATCCCTAACTAAACTCCTTACAATATATATATAAAAGCCATAGGTGCAAAGACTAGCACCTACTACCAAGTAGTTACTAGAAGAAACCAAATTACTCAATAACTACCAGACTGGGTCTGAAAACAAAATATCAAAACACCAAACAAAAAAGGCACCCTTACATTCAGAATAAATCCTTTAAAACATCCCTATCCAGCCACACATTACAGTGTAAACTCGATTATCCAGACTAACTCACAATGTCAAGGCCACACACTGCACGTTTCACAACCAAAACATAAACACCGTACCTTGCCTCCCCAGCCCTACTTTTTAAAATTTAACCCCTATCCGTCTATTTAGTAGACTCCTTATTAGCTTATCAGCAACAGTTTAACTGTTCTGCACATTAAGTCACAATATACTTTACACCACTTACTTAGTTGAACTTATACGCAATCAACTTCCGAACACTCTTACGTCCAACTTCTCAACTCCCAATCTAAACTAAATTATTTTCAATATACAGGTGTTTTATGATATAGTGCTTTATTCCCCAAGTAATAATTTTATTACGTTTTTGTTAAACACACCTACCACGTCGGTCGATGAATTGTGGCACTGTCTCAAGGCGATAGTTGGGATATGGGGACAGACAGACATATACGTTTGTACACAAGTCATTCTTGTAGAAGTATGAGAGACTATGGCACATACATTTAGAACAATACCTTTTTCACATAATAGTAGAAATATATTTGTGTGAAATATGCACACATAAGAAGACCAGATGAAAGGCACAGGGTGTATAAAATTCTGTCACTGATACAATAAAGCCCAACGGGGAGTTGGTTTGGTTGGTCTGTTGTTTAACACCGCACTAGGCAATATTACAGCTATATGGCGGCGGTCTGTAAATAATCGAGTCTGGACCAGACAATACAGTGATCAACATCATGAGCTTTCTCGCTCCATCGCTTTCTCGCCTTGGTATATCGCTTTTTCGCTCTATCGCTTTCTCGCCTTTGTATATCGCTTTCTCGTTCTATCGCTTTCTCGCGTGATGGTATCGCTTTCTCGTCTCGTGCTATCGCTTTCTCGTCTCGTGCTATCGCTTTCTCGTCTCGTGCTATCGCTTTCTCGTCTCGTGCTATCGCTTTCTCGTCTCGTGCTATCGCTTTCTCGTCTCGTGCTATCGCTTTCTCGTCTCGTGCTATCGCTTTCTCGTCTCGTGCTATCGCTTTCTCGTCTCGTGCTATCGCTTTCTCGTCTCGAGCTATCGCTTTCTCTCTTTCTCGCCTCCGAATTAAAAGGCTAGAAAGCGATGGCCCTAATCAGCCACCATACCATACCCATCAAGTCCCGACGCATTTACTGTCCAGGTGTGAAGGCACACGATGGCGACGTAACTGGTGGTACCCCCAGATGGAGCCTACTGAGGGTTGAGTTTCGGTTATTTTGTAGACCTGTTAGAGTCAGGACTTTCTGTGTATTTTCATAAGGTCAGTTTTATTTAGTACAAATTGGTTACTGTCAGTGTTGCCAACTTGTAAGAATTCACCTTTTACACTTACATGAACCTCAACTTGAAGTTGTGAGTTCTACTTGAACCTGTATACATACAGTTACAATGCTTCAGCTTGGTTTATTGCTGAATGTTGATTTGTTTAAACTACATTTTGGTCAGGCTTGTCGTGAAGGGGCGTTTGGGTCTTGTATCCCCCGGACCTGGGCTGAATTTATTCCAGAGCTTCAATCACAGAATCTACTACCGTTTTTAATCATAGAATATCAATTTTGTACATTTTAGAAAAATGTCAAACATCAGTACATCAGCAGCTGAAGGGGTGGTATAAATCCAGCTAGGGTCCCTAGTATTGTGGCAACATCCGTTGCTAGCGATCGCTTACCAATTTGCCAATCTCGTTTCGATAATTCTTAGTGTACGATTTTAATTTTCCTTGAGCTAGTGTTAACAAATATGTGATAATCTAGTCATTCGTGACAGGTTATTTATAATTTATATGTATGTATCATGAATTTAGAACTTGTTTTAGTCACGATAAGGCTGATTTACTGTCGACGTGACTTAAAAGCTAAACTAACCCGAGTGAATGAGCTGGTGTTGACAAGTCCGAGTATTCTCTGGCAGAGATGTAGTGAGTTTACGTGCGCATCGGTGGTGAACCCAAAGCTATTCAATTTACGAAATATTTAAGTTTTGATTCACGGTGCTAGATGGTACAACAGGCCGCAAATCTGCATGTGTGAAGATAAGGCTACACATCAGTATGAGATCATGTTTCATTATAACATCATTTATCTGTGTGAGACCAGATATCAGTGTAAATGAGACTAACATCTCGTTTCTGACCAAATAAATATATTTTACAGAATAAAAGTTTTCTAAAATATAATCATAAAATACAATGAAAAAAAAAAGTCCGGGGACTTTCTTCATTTTCATATACAGTGACAGTGGCAATCTGGACTTGCTATATATTCTACCAACTTGCATGGGCTTTCGTGGATAAGTCAGGGTCAGTATGACCGAAGGACCATATACCAGTATACCACCATGCGTGTGCAGGAGTATACGACTAAATATCAGTAGAAATGTGTATAATTACACTTACACTAATTACAATCTCCTGCAAAAATAAAAGACAACTGTTTCTAACCGGAATTCGATGACTTCATACAACCTGCTAATCATCATCAGATAAAACAAACTCATTTCGGGCTTTTGGGGTTTCTTTATTTAGAGGTGGTCGTAATGCCCAAGTGACGTATACAAAAAAGGTTGCATTGTATAAAGATGAGTGGGCGATAGATCACCAACCATGGAAGAATCGGGAACATCTCCACAAAATATCGTATTACTAATTCCCAGGATTTGTCAGATATGTTGCCTACATGGAGCTGGGGTTAAGCAGGTTTTACGTCATATTTTTGTAACTTCAAACAAAACATTAAAAACTTCGAATTTATTCAAAAAACATTAAAGCCGAGACTAATGTTGAGTTGCCTACAACACCCATAATATCAGTTTGATTCAATAAAGTAAAAACTGAAACTGTTGAAAACGGCTAGGTCAGAGTGAGTGAGTGAGCTTAGTTTTACGCTGCATTCAGGGCTCGATCAGAAATAAAACGACTTGTAACGGCCTACAACACAAAAATAACACCAGTGTGTTATATCATATAGTGGATGTGTTATTCAACACTGGGAGGTGGACGCTGTGCACAAAACAAACATAAAATCTAATCTGTAAAAAATGAAACCAATACATGATGACAAATATGAAAACCTATTGTCAAAACATATCGACAAAATGCAACCAAAGACATGGTGCAGTGAGGTATAGCAAGGGCATATTGTGCGGAAAGGAATATCACAACAGATATAGCTAGACACATGGGTTACATATGATATCCTAACTGATTATCACGAAAACGAACACCTGGTGTTTATTGTCCTCCATTGAATGAATGGCGCAACAACGAGTAATACTGTCAAATGTTTCAGGTCAAAGGATGAGAAAGACACACGATGGGAGAGCCATATGTTATTTAACATGAAGAGACAAAAGATCCTTTTACTTTTTCACTGATCTTCGTTCTCTTGCTGTGACAACCGTAGTGTCATTTAGGAGGTCTAAAAGTACTTCCAGCATAAAGCGTTATTTCACTCTAGCGAGTTGTGTCCTACAAGGAGACATACTTTTAAGCTCTAAATATATAGAATTACAATTGCCAGCACACGTACACATAATGCATGTACAGATAGCGCTGTGATTACCCTGGAATCGAAACGCGACATCACAACCAAATAACGTCTGTCTTTGAGTATTCTCTTGGAGGTGACATTGCGAAAGACAGGTTACAAGCATAAATAAAAGCAGGCATTGTATATACTCAAACCCTGAAAAAAAGTTCACGCACCAAAGAATGCACTAACACAGTACACTACAGATATATATTATGTCGTTATACAGTGGAATCACGTCAATAGAACGAGGACCTCAGAAGACATAGACCAGGTATAAACGTCTCACTCGCCCAATCACATCCGAACAGAGAATCACAGTCATCACGCTTTAGCTTTGGTGAGGGCAGACGGTTCGATTGGTTCGTCCGGGACCTCGTCTTCATCTTTCTCCTTGGCACCATGTTTGAGCATTCTGGTGAACTCAGCGTAGTCGAATTTGCCGTCGGTGATGGGGGCGCCGTGGAGGAGATCGTCCACCATATCGTCAGTCCATCTGTCACCCATTGTCGTCAGGCATTCGCGCAGATACTCCTCGGGAATGTAGCCTAGGGGAGACAACTCGTGTAATCATTCGTTCTACTTTATGGCATTGTGAAGACCTGCGTGGGCCACTGTTCCCATATCAAATGATATGAAGACAATGTTGGATTATTATCATTTCTAGGATATCATGTCTTTACAAATCGGTGATTGTAAGCAGTCCGTTAATTTATGATGGGTTCTCCAGATTTAGATGCGGAAGACACAAACAAGGACTGATTTGTAGTAAGTTGATCTAATAACAAATGCCATCACTTCATCTTACAATAAACGTTATCATTCTATGTACATTATGGGTTCGTGGATGTGCCAGAGTAATTGATCCATAACAAATGTAACGATTGATGGAGATAGATTCATGTTCTGATAGCATGTCGACATTCTGAGAAATAATCGCCTGGAATCATAGTTTTGAAGACTGTCAGGACCTTGACTAACGGGGTTTCATTGTAAAGCTGGGGTTATGGTCAGAGTCTTTCGGTGTTTATAGGACAGTCGACATAGAATAGTTCCGTTCTTGCTACATGTGTTAGTATGGAGGTAGGGACATATGTAGAACTGAAGTATGCTTAAAGATGTACATTAATGGGACGTACATAATATGAACCCTTCGCGGATTCCTTGTCAGAAAGCAAACTACAACTGCTCGTGATATCAATCACTAGGATGTTTAGTGACGATAATAAGTGAGTGTAAGTGAGACTGACAACTGAATGTTCAAGTGGTGGAAGGAATGTGTTTGATATCAACAACTGTTTCCGTGATAAATATATGAATAAAACACATCCGATGTTATAACACTCAGAACCAGATAGTCCACTCTAGAAAATGTTCAATATCAGATATATGATACCGTTTCTGCATAGACCCTTACCTGCATTCTTTTCATCAAAGCATGCAAATGCATTTTTAATGACGTCTTCGGGATCTGTGCCATTCAGTCTCTCTCCAAACAGCGTGAGGAACATGGTAAAGTTGATGGGCCCTGGCGCCATGTTGATCATGACATCAAGGTCTGCATCGGAGGGGTCCTTCCCGAGAGACGTGAGCATCTCCAGGAGGTCGTCCTTGTCAATATAGCCATCACGGTTCTGGTCGATCATGTTGAACGCCTCCTACACGTGAAGTAAATACAACAGTTAACATGGAATGATCGGAGGGAGACCAGAAACAGGCTTCGAACATTGCATTCACGTGGACAGTCGAGCCATGTCCTACAGAGTAATAGATGTGACATATGTTATATTTGGGATTACACTTTCTGAGTAAAGTACAGATTCTTGAACTTTTGTTGGGTTGAGTACGACCCGGGATTCGAACCCACGATTAGGTGCCTGACTCTGAGGGTGTTGGTTCGAATCTTGGATGGGACTCAACCCAACAAAAGTACAAGAATCTGTACTTTACAAAGAAAGTGTAATCCCAAATATAACATATGTAACATATTGACCACTTTCTAAATGGCAGTGTGTAATCATAATAAATAGACGGGTTGGCCACCGAGCAGCTTCACCACCCTGAGTATCTGACATGATGTATAAAACACAAAGAATCTTATTGTCGCTTGAAATATACACTCCAGATATTCAATTTAGTTTAACATAACACAATACATTTCTTCAAGGATTATTACATATCCATGTTATGTATGACCTTAATGTTAAATATGCATTACATTAACATGTTATTAACCATAGCATTTTGATATGGTATGATGATTATTGTTTTTGTATTCATCATTGGTGGATACTTGAAAATGGGAACGTCATCACCAGAGATACACCAGCTTACATTGGGCATAATAGTCAAACTATTGACGAACAGAGTACTGGAATTCAGTGATGACTACAGTGGACAAATGTTACACAAGATCTATATGCATGAGTGACCTCCGCTTCGAACAGTACCTCAGTTATATCACGGCGTGTCACCTGGATATGAGAGGAAACCTCGAAGTGGTGCAGATCTCAGAGGTTTACCACACTGGTATATGCAGGTAAACCTACAAACGTAATCAGCCGAACTCGGCTTTGAACCGCTTTGCACGTTTTCGCTGTCAGCGTTTAATGAGTGAGTGAGTGAGTGAGTGAGTGAGTGAGTGAGTGAGTGAGTGAGTGAGTGAGTTAAGATTTATAGTCACATCGGCTATATTTCAGCCATGGCGTGACTTAAAAGGTTGGAAATTGATAATAAATGGAATTCAATTACAACAACCTGTCGACGAAGGATGGTAAAAGAACTAGAACATCACAGTTAGAAACGTAATACCAGTAATTAAATCTAAAATATTTTTAACTATAGAGGACAATACAGTATAAAGCAGGCTAAAGATCGCCAACAACTGAAGGTAGAGCACCATACTAGGGAACAGCGTTGAATGACTCACAGTTATATTAAAAACATTCCGTGAACACATTCTTTTGTTTTCAGGACCACTTTCATATTTTCAACAACATCTGAAATGCTTGGCCTTACAATTAAACTTACCTTAAACTCCTGGATCTGTGCTTGGTCGAACATAGCGAATACATTGGATGTGTAGCGCTGGGTTCGAGTCCGCTTGGACTTCTTGGTGCGTGTGCTGGACATCTTGGTGGGTTGACAGCTGTGGAGGAAAGGCAATACCAAGTATGATCACATACTTATAAAAGGGTTTAAGATTAGTTTTGACAGATTTACCGGTTTATACATCATGACAATTTCAAGAGATTACACAGAAATAATTGTCAATACTGAAGTTAGTGTGCTTGTGTCTGGACGGAGAATGGATTAACAAAGTATATTAGGCGTACTACTGGCACCAGTCAGCGATGCATGTTAATATTTGTATATAATATTCTTTAATATTTGTCATGTTCATAGGCCATATCTAATATATATGGTCGATAAAATGTGTGACAAATTTATTTCAAGTAAATGTCCTAATGTTGCAGGTCTTTTCTTTGCAGATGATGTTTTGGGTGTATCTGATACCGCAGCTGAGGATTGATATGCTTGAACACTTTTGTGAAAGTACTGGTATGAAACTTGTGCAAACCAAAACCCATGGTATTCAATAAAGGTGAACATCTTCGTCAGTGAGCAAAGTGGTGCTTCAAGGGGGAAATTACAGATATTGTTAGTTTCTACAGGTGTCTGGGTGTTGCGTTTACACCAACAGTTGCACCATTGTAATAATGCCAATGAAAATTTTAGTACTTTTACTGATGTCCAGATGTTATTGTGTCCTGCTCAGATATTGCATATAACTCAGTCTGCCAAAACGTGCAAACTTGTTTTACTATCTAACAAATGATTTCCATGTTTGACCATATTTATGTCATGCCTTTATCGATGTTAATTTATGTATATAAGAACGTTTATCTATTTATTGTAATCTTATATAGTCTCTCATAACCCGTTTAGTGTGGCTCACTTTTTTACACTTTCATACTCTGTACCATATGTATTTTATGTAAATATATTAGGTAAGACTAACAAATCATCTGTTTGTCTGTCTGTCTGCACCAGGGAATAGCGTTGTCACAGTGCTGTGTTACTGCACAAGCTCAGAATTCGTGTATGTCATTATTAACTATCAAACAAAATTTGGAGCCACATGCACACGTGTTTAAAAACGTGATGCAGCTATTGTAACTATACTCAATAATGGGTATACGATTTGAGATACAACCCACTGTTAATTATTTGAAAATGATCATACGTATTTTGTAAAAGGTTTCGGAAGTTGAATAAAAATGAAAATACACAGATAATGTTATGATACTTGGCTACTGTGTCCCATGGTAAAATACGTACATGTCAAAGTGTGCCAAGTACTGGTGTAGACTGCCTCAGTACGATACCTGTACATTACCTCGTCAAAGCTATATAACGTTAAAATCTCTGTACAGCGTTGGACAGACTACTTGAGCTGCATGTACTAGAAATGTTTTATATCAGTGTCCATTTGGTCTTATATGACTTCATAATGTCTTCATATCTTTGTTTAAGCAAAGACTGTATAATTGTCTATCTCAAGAATGTCATTATACAGTACACTGTCCTTCAATGAGTGAGTTTAGTTTTATGCCGCACACATCAATATTCCAGATATTTGGTGGCGGTCTGTAAATAATCGAGTCTGGACCAGACAATCCAGTCATCAACACCATGAGCATCGATCTACGCAAATGGGATACGATGACATGTGTCAACCAAGTCAGCGAGCCTGACTACCCGATCCCGTCAGTCGCCTCTTACGACAAGCATGGGTTACTGAAGATCCATTTTAACCTGGATCGTCGCGGGTCCAAATTTCTTCAAAGTGCAAGCTGTATGGTGAACACAATGTTTAATGTGGACAGATATCTTTCAACAGACTGCCCAGTACATTATATACATGTCGTGTGTCAGTTTACATAACGTTAGAAAGACTGTAGTAATAGGATGATTTAATATTACTTGTGCTGACAGGATCCGTAATTATTGTATACATGATGATATTTCCTTCGTGGACGACAAATTCCATGAGGTTCTTGAGAGGCATATAGAATTCCATGTTCTGTTGGTAAGTACGCGGTATGAAGGAGTGCGGCATGTATGTTTCCTACCACATGTATCTACATTTTTTGTACCTTACACCAGACGATGTCAAGTGAACATATTGATATGTTGTTGTCCATTGGACGTTTTTGTGTCAGGTACAACACTTTAGAAACAATCCTTTATCCTTATAAGGTGTCTCTTCTCAAATATAATCTTATGACCTTTATAAAAAGTAAGTCGTCTTATAAAGGTAAAGAAGATAAAGAAGATATTATTAATCGAGTACATATATCACTTACGTTAACGTATATTTTCTATTTAATAATAATGGTGGATGTTGAATTATATAATCTATTATCGTGTTATACTGTATTGTACGGAAGACCTTGGACACAATAACATTAATATTCATAACGATATCATCACTGTTTGATAGTCATTTGTAAACACACGTTGATAAAATAGCTTGAATCGTACATTAGAATGTGTCATTTCAATTCCTATGGATGTGGGAACGGTTTTGTGTGATTTGGAAGTCGACCTGGGTTAGAACTGGTTTCCAGCAACCTTGTCGTAAGAAGGTAATGACGAGATTGGTTGGTCAGGTTGAAGTAGTATATCGTATTGCACAGATCGATGCTTATGGTGTCCGTTAAGGGTCGTATATTTTCAGACCGCCTTCACATAACTGGAATATTGCTCATCGCAGCTTTAAACAACAAACACACGAACAACATATAAGTGAATCTATATGCTCATTGATATAACGTCTACCACCGGTAAAGCATTTGAGCTACACACAATACTTAATCACAGCCAAAACGTCTTATACAAGTCTATCTGACAATGTACAATAATGTTCTCTCACTGTTCACATGTAGTGTTTGTCATTAGCATTTGCGTATTGTTTAGAGTCAGTGTGTAGATCTTGGCGAGGTTGGTGGTAGTGTATTAAGTTGAGCGGATTGCCACCTGTAGCGACTGTGGAGAGATGCAGCCAACAGTTGTTTATTTCTCGTACAGTCTCTGTGACAAACTACTCACAGCTCTGTTCCCAAGTTGTGATTGGCGGATATAACTGTCGATAAATATACTCCATGTGTTAACCACATGTTGTATCGCTGTCCTGTCAGAAATGTGTGACTATCTCGTGTATGATACATGCCTTGTGCTGTCAGTAATGTGTGTGATGCCTTCCTGTCAGTAATGTCCTGTCAGTAATGTGTGACTATCTCGTGTATGATACATGCCTTGTCCTGATACTATCTCGTGTATGATACATGCCTTCAGTATGTCCTATCCCGTCAGTAATGTGTGACTATCTCGTGTATGATACATGCCTTGTCCTGTCAGTAATGTGTGACTATCTCGTGTATGATACATGCCTTGTCCTGTCAGTAATGTGTGACTATCTCGTGTATGATACATGCCTTGTCCTGTCAGTAATGTGTGACTATCTCGTGTATGATACATGCCTTGTCCTGTCAGTAATGTGTGACTATCTCGTGTATGATACATGCCTTGTCCTGTCAGTAATGTGTGACTATCTCGTGTATGATACATGCCTTGTCCTGTCAGTAATGTGTGACTATCTCGTGTATGATACATGCCTTGTCCTGTCAGTAATGTGTGACTATCTCGTGTATGATACATGCCTCTTGTCCTGTCAGTAATGTGTGACTATCTCGTGTATGATACATGCGTGTATGATACATGCCTTGTCCTGTCAGTAATGTGTTATCTCGTGTATGATACCTTGTCCTGTCAGTAATGTGTGACTATCTCGTGTATGATACATGCCTTGTCATGCCTTGTCCTGTCATGTGTATGATACCCTTGTCCTGTCAGTCAGTAAATGTGTGACTATCTCGTGTATGATACATGCCTTGTCCTGTCAGTAATGTGTGACTATCTCGTGTATGATACATGCCTTGTGTCAGTAATGATATCATGCCTTGTGTATGATACATGCCTTGTCCTGTCAGTAATGTGTGACTATCTCGTGTATGATACATGCCTTGTCCTGTCAGTAATGTGTGACTATCTCGTGTATGATACATGCCTTGTCCTGTCAGTAATGTGTGACTATCTCGTGTATGATACATGCCTTGTCCTGTCAGTAATGTGTGACTATCTCGTGTATGATACATGCCTTGTCCTGTCAGTAATGTGTGACTATCTCGTGTATGATACATGCCTTGTCCTGTCAGTAATGTGTGACTATCTCGTGTATGATACATGCCTTGTCCTGTCAGTAATGTGTGACTATCTCGTGTATGATACATGCCTTGTCTTGTCAGTAATGTGTGACTATCTCGTGTATGATACATTCCTTGTCCTGTCAGTAATGTGTGACTATCTCGTGTATGATACATTCCTTGTCCTGTCAGTAATGTGTGACTATCTCGTGTATGATACATGCCTTGATCTTGTGAACCTTCTAGCGCCTCACAGGCAGCTTGGGTTACCCGGGGTAATAATAATCAGATTGTGTGTTAGCGCTTTGAGTATATGCCTTGTATATGGAAAAGGCGCATTATGAATTCACAATTACTATTACGATGTACCAGTGATATGACGGTCGTGGTTGCATTGTATCATTTACATCAAGCACTCATAAGACAAAATATTATGGATGCCAACCTCTTCTTATTGTATACACAACGTTACTGGGCTCCTGGATGTTTCTTCACCCTACGAAGGGGCAAGGATAAGCCCAGAAACGTTGTGTATACAAGAAAGAAGTTGACATCCATAATATTTTGTCTTATACTTGAATACCAACTTCTATATGCCTGTCAAGTACATCCTCAAGACGACAGTCTTGTGTTTATGTAATATCACTATTTTCAGGCATCCAGTCGTCCTTTGTCTGTATCTGTTATGTCAAGGATTTCAAGCAGAAACACTTGCCCTTTGTGTACATATATCACTGTTTTAAAGCTTTTAAAGTCTTTATGTCTGGATGATGTCAGTGATTTATTTCAAGAATTCAGACAAGTCTTCTATGTGTACATGCTATGGGTGATATCAGTCAGATATGTTTTGTATGTGTATAAGTGATTACAGGCAGTGAAATATGCCTTTTGTGTGTGAATAATATCAATGATTTCAAGCATAAAACTTGACATTCTTGTGAATATATTATTAGCCATTTCAAGCATAAAACTTGACATTCTTGTGTATATCATATAAATGATTTCATGCAATTATAAATACTTTTTTGGTGAATATAATATCAGTGATTTCGTGCAAAATAAAAATTGGCATTTATGTGAATGCAGGATCGGTGATTTCAAGTAGTATTAAAGCTTCACATTTAGTGTGTCTAATATAAGTGAGTTTATACTATATAGCGTGACATCCTTGTATATATAATAGCAGTGCGTTCATGCAGTATAACTTGACATTTTGGGGAATGCAGCATTAGGGATTTCAAGGAGTAAAGCTTGACATTCTTGTGTATAGACTATCAGTGATTTCAAGCAGCCAAACATAACTATTGCCTCACAGCGGTGATTTCAGTCATGTGTAATTGCGTATCACATATAGCTGATCTAACGATATAAAATACACGTTGCTTGAAAATCACACATATTAATTAATTCAAAATAAACTTCAAAACCACAAATGTGTATATAACACTGGAATATAATTCATCATTCAAAAATTATTTGAAATGTTTTTGATATGATCTGGGGATGAATGAATGTTAACAGCACACTGTATCAGCTTAGGCAGCTTAGGCATCCCATTAACTCCAACTATCTTACCCATGTGTAATTGTAACCATTCATGTGTACGTTGTTGTACTGTGTGCTATTTATTTATATTATTCTTAAATGATAACATTTCCAGGACACTTCGTGTCTCATAGGCCAGCTGGCCGGGTGGAGTATATTTCAAAAAAGTCTTGTCATTGTGATTATATGTTTGTTTGTATACTGCGTGACACGTACATAAAATGTCTTCTCATCTTATATTATCCTGTATTCCTTGCAAGGGTCGGTTCTACAAACAATAACGAATACAGAAACAATTTATACTGAATTAGGAATAGGGTTGTCAACACAATAATTGTTACAGATAACATCACCTGTAGATGTAGGTATAGGTCCGGGTTGGATACCGCGGCTTGTTAGATAGAGAGATATGTTATGTTGATGGAATTAACGTAAACAATCTGCTACTTCCATTAACTCCAAATCTATAAAATTCCTAGGTGCAGCGCAAAACGCAATTCCTTTGTCAAGGAAGGGTGTAATAACAATATCCTCAGTTCCTGCAGCATCCTGACAGTGTGAATCATCGCCTGCACCTGTCACACACGCTATAATATATGGGGGAAAAGATTCCCCGACACAAATAAACAGAAGCTATTCAACCACAACACACTGATCATATCGAGAGAGAAATACTCACAGTCTTGTTCAAGTATGTACCTTTATCCGTCTTTACAAACTTCACAAACTTTTGAGTAAATGATGCGATGCTTCAAAATGGCCGACACTTTTCCGAAAATATCCCCCAAACTGAATTCTTGTTTGTGAACCATTCCAGAATGATGCAGCGTTCCTTAGCAGATGTTGATATCTTCAGTTATTCCGGAATGAGTTTGCTTTGAGTAGCAAGGCGGCGGCAAGATAAGTGCCATATGTCTGAAACTGGATTCCTTCGAGTACCGCGCCCTCTAGGATGCCGCGTTTCCATGGTAACGCTGAATATAGAGATTACAAACACATCCATCTTGGATTACTAACGTCCATGATTTAAATGTAGCTATAAGGCATATATGATTTTTTAAATATCGTTAAACCGAAGTTAACAAAAGGGATTATTCGGTATCTTCTTACAATACTTCAAAACGAAAATATAGAATTTTTCAATTTATACTCCTATTCTTTTCCTCGATACAATAATAGCATTTTTATACACATTACGTCACTGCAATTCAAAAGGAGCTCCGGTGATAATCTCTTGAGCTAAATAAGATTAGTTGAATGTTTTTGATACAATACTAAACTGTGCTCAACTTTATTTTATCCAGGGATAAAATATGATAACACATACCATAAAATATATTATCATTTGTTTTATGGTCTCTTATAAGAACAATAACCTAGCTGTGCTCCAGGGCGATGCTATGCTGAAATCCATACATAGAAACTGTTTACATATAAATATATTGATGTATTTGCAAATATTCGGTGACACATTAATTAAAGTGCTAATCTATCGCAGCATCAATGTGACGCAGATATTTGATGTTGTTTATACGGAGGTACATGTTTCAAACTGTGGTTTAATCTCTCACATGCTGAATTGTCTCGCCTCGTGTACCACGGTTTGTTGAGTACCACATACCGTTCGTTAGGCTGCCATACAGATCCTGAAGCAAATATACCCAACGTAGTCCATGCATGTCTAGGTTACCACAGTTTCAGGAATGAAAAAACTCTCTCTCGGCTCCTTTTTATTGTATTTCATTTTAATTTAAAAAACTTTTTTTCTGTAAAATATGTTCATTTCAGAGAATGTTAGTGTGACTGTTCGTGTCAAAGTAAACACAAGGCCATATCACAATGGGGACTGTGGCTGCAGGGTGAAAATTTATTTCCTTTCCTATTTGCTCTCTACCTTTATGACACTGAAACCTGTGTATGTGAACGTAATGTAAATTGACGTGGTATTGTAAATTGTTTTATTGAGACTTGGCGTGTGTATAAACTTATTAGCACTATTGTATGCAGTTGATATGCGCTGAAGAATTACAATTAAGCTTAGACAATTTCTCAACATATTGTGTCTTGTGGAAACTTAAAGTTAACTTAGATAAAACCAAAATTGTAATGTTTTCAAAAGGCTAAGTTAAAAACAAATATAGGTTTAAACCTTTTAGTGAGGAAACTGAAGTTGTCCGAGAATATATCTATACTTGGGAATCCTATTTAACGACAATGGTTAGTTTGTTAAAGTAATTAAGAGACTTGCAGAATAAGCAGCAAGGTCGATGTTTTCTGTATTTAAAACTACTAGTATTAGGGAACTTGAAATCCAAATTGACTGTCAGCTGAAAGTTTTTGATCAATTCGTTTTACCAATTTTAATATACGGATCAGAAGTTTGGAGGTATGAAAATGCAACTATTTTAGAAAGAACGCATCAAACATTTTGTAAATATATACTTAAGGTAATACAATCTGCTCCAAATTATATGGTTTATGGGGAACTCGATATTGAAGTAATGATTAAAACAAAAAATCATAAGTTACTTGTGTAAAGTCCTTGTGTAAAGTCATCACATCAACACACAAGTTGCCTCATATAGTGTATAATGTTACGGCTAATGTGTCGACTTGTTTGGGTATTCAATTTGATCTTTTAAATGTAGTGAAAAGTATACTTCAAAATGCTGGGCTATGTTATATATGGCAGTCCCAAAGTTTTCCTTCAGCATCCTGGCTGAAAAACTGGCTGAAAAACTATGTTATATACACACTTATAGATCAGTCAGTTTAAGCAATCATGTAATGCTGCCCTTCAAAATTCATCGAAAGGTAAATATTACTCGTTATATAAGCATACTCCCAACTTAGAACCTTATTTAATCAGCCTCCCATTGAAACAACGTGTCTGGTTAACAAAACTGAGAACATGCAATCACAGATTACCGGTGGAATTCGGCAGATGGTATAATATAGACATAGAAAATAGAATATGTACAATTTGTAACCACCATGTAATATGTGGCGAATTTCATATTGTCTTATCATGCATAGCTCTAGATGATGTAAGAAAAAAGTATACTCCCTAGTTATTTTTGTAATAACCCTCATATTGATAAATGTATTTCCCTTATGAAATCTGACTATCTTCCTTTGGTACAGAAACTGTCACGTTTAACGAAAATTGTATTATCCCTGTTTTAGTTATACATTTATATTATATTCATATGCATATAAGCATAATGGCACTTTGTATCTATCAAAATATATGTATGTTCTCTATATCATTTTGTTTGATTTATGAGAATAAAAATCCTGATTCAAGATTCCTGATTCCGGCTGCGTCGGTTTGTACAGCCTGGGTCTTGGGACTGTGTGAAGGTAATATAATGTAGGTAATTTCACAACACTTGCAGATATTTTCGTTAAATAAATATTGTACATACGTGTCTTAATCCGGCTACTACAGTGGCGTGTTCTCTTCTTTTTTTCAAACATTAGTAAACGAAATATGTTAATATTTCGTTCACATTAATTCTAAATGGTATACAAGTGGTGAAAATACTGTTAGCCTTGAGACACGTTATTGCCGATGTTATTGTCAGGTTATTCCTTTTCCTTATAACACCCATTTCTACGTATTCGTGAAGTATACCGCCCTCTACACAACCTGCTGAAACCATGACGTTCTCCCCTTGTTGATAGTGTTCCGGACCGTCAGCATCGCGTGGATACATTTATTTAATGACTGCAGAAGGAGTCTTTTTCCTTGTCACTTCCATATCCCTAATTGCCACAGTTCATGGTGTTTTATTTACCGGTTGCTGCAATATACAATACAAGCAGGCTAACGCATACTGTCCGAGAGAGACAAAAAAACTCTATTAAAATTGAGAAGCCTCACTGAGATGGGATCGAGATTCAGAACCAGAGGAAAATCTAGATATGCTTCATTTAGAGCATTTTCATTGCGGACTTTAGTGGGCCAAAGAGAAATTGATATCGTTCAGGGACTGTGAGACAGACAACAATGCTCGATGTTCCTTCTCCCTTAAATTATGATTTAACCTTCCCCTTTTTACCAGAGTACTTGATATCGCCTTCCTCTGATTGTCACAATACATGATATTCCCCTTCTGGTTGCCACATTACATGATATCCTTCTCCATGATTACCGCAATACATGATATCCCCTCCCTGTTTGCCACAAGACATGATATCCCCTCCCCTGTTTGCCATGTTACATGATATCCTTCTCCACTAATTGCCACAGTACATGATAGCCCCTTCCCTGTTTGCTATGTTACATGATATCCTTCTCCACTAATTACCACAATACATGATATCCCTTCCCCTGTTTGCCATGTTACATGATATCCTTCTCCACTGATTGCCACAATACATGATATCCCCTCCCTGTTTGCCACAATACATGATATCTCCTCCCCTGTTTGCCATGTTACATGATATCCTTCTCCACTGATTCCCACAAGACATCATATCCCCTCCCTGTTTGCCACAATACATGATATCTTTCTCCATGGTTGCCACAATACATGATATCTATTTTCGCACTTGAAGTGTTTGGTCAGAGAGTCGGTATATGATCCATGGTGTGGTACGGCGGTTTCACGTCCTAAATGGTTCACCGCCACATCAGAACTTCGCTGTTGAATGAGATACTGCAAAGGGCAGTGTCAGTCACATACGAGTCTACTGACCTCAACACACAACAGGTTACTTCTTCTTCTTCGGTTATATGCTTTGGAAGTCGCCTTCGCCTGCTGGCATTTCGGCAGACAGGTTACATAATGACGTCCAACTTGTAGAAGACAGAACGCCTTATCTACCTCCGTTTATTGAAGAAGCGCCGCGGATGACTAAAGTTACAAGAAGCGTCACGGGGAATACTACAGTGGTCAGTGGTTGACAGACAAAACAGATGGCCACCATGACCGCCGTGTGGAGGTCATTAGAGGGTCTGCAAGGGGGAGGGGGGAGACATAGAGTGGGAGGAGACATAGTGAGGAGGGGTCAGGGCGGTGGAGTGAGATTGGGTGGGGCTGAGGGGAAGGGGGATAGTGATGGTAAGTCGGGCGTGATGTAGTGCATGCGCGTAAAGATTAAAGGTACATCAAGGGACAGTTTAGGGGAAATTGCGGGAAATTTCAATCATGATTATTGCATTGAAGTCTGATGTACGATACAGCAGCTGCTTCCAACAATTGATGGTTTCTTAATTTGAATTCAAATCAATTCCTGTTTATTTCATGCTCGCTGGAATATCGTTCTGTTTCGTTAATGATTCTTGGCCAGCAATATATATTTCAGTGAGGTCATCATCAAAATATACAAAGTTCAACAGTTCTGTTTCTTCGCTTAATAAAAGTATAGTAACGACAATTGTTTCTAACATATGACCATACCCACCTGGAACTGCATATCCCTAACTCCCATCAGAGACCATATGTAGGGTCTCTGCTCCCATGAATAATTGCGGGACAGGATATATACCGCTAAATAACCATGTGATGTCTCAGTAGAGAAGTCTACACCTTTTCCCTCTTATCCTACGGTTAAACCAATATGGCTATTTCCTTATATATGGTCTTGGCGTGAACAATAATTGCATGTTGTAAGTAAGTGTTGATGGTAGAGTACGCCTCTCACCTCTACAGACACGCATTCGTCCTTTATACTATCGACAGATATGATATAGCCAGTTGCTAATTCATGAACCCATTTTGGACACATGTTAAGGAAATATTGTTCAGATATATAAGACACATGATACTGATCACTATGTTGAAATACCAACTGTGGAAATATATACATATATTTTTGATAATTAGAAACCTTTATTGAAATGGTGTAAAGAATATTATGGTTATTTAAGAACTTCATTTTGAGAAGAACACTTTAAGCAAGCGTTATTTCACCTATTGTGGATATGTATGAATTGGTAATGTTTATAATAAGGAACGTAAGCATTGGGTGACAGAAAGAGCTCCTGTCAGATTTCACGGTCATTAATCATCACTTCTAATGCTATCAAAAGTACCCGATGTTTATAGCAGATGAGATTCGTAAACGTTAGGAGGCCATGTTGAGGATCTCTGTGTAATATCCTTCACACAGCAGCCGAAAAGACAAATTGGAACATGTATAGCATAGTGTTGACGAAGTACCAGCTTGTAATGGCGGCGGTGACCCCCGGGCTGAGGGAGAAGCTACTGTATGTGTGTGTTGGCGCGGCACTGGAAGCACCAGCACATGTGGTTCGCATCATCGCCATGACAAGCCCAGTGGCGCCAGCGGGAGGGGGTGGGGTATGGAGGAGGAGGGGGAGAGAGCGGAGGTAGGGTTGTCAGTTACAACAAGAAGCCGTAGTGGTTCCTATAAACAGCATGTGATGGTTATATGTGTGCAGGAGTTAACGTGCCATGATACACTGAACCACTCACCTTACATGGTGAAATATATATACACTTAAACTGACGTGTCATGCATGATGTGTCGGGTAAACTTGACAATGTGTAACTAATATATTTTTCTTTATTATTTAAAAATATATTAGTTTGACTGTTTTGAAAAAAAATCTGTTTAAAAGATGTTGAATGAATGTCAGCTCTTCTTGTAAACAGCATTTCAAAATATTTCCTGTGTTTGTTATTTTTTACAATTGTAACAATAACACACCTTGTCAAACTCAATACGTCACGCATTAACATCTATGATGAAGTACTCTCAGAAACCATACATGGTGTACCCAACATCCCAATAATCTGTACATTATCTATTATAGATCTCGATCAACAGTTGAATATGTGACAACAACAAACGGGAAAATATAATATTTACAATATCACATGAGTTATATCATAATTATGTCAAGAAGTTGGTGAGTAAGTTATGAAGTATACAGCTTTATTGATGACAACTTCTTGTTTATTGCACCGAGTGACGGACCGATGTAGGACCTTACACCGTTATCATGACGACATTCATTACTTAATTCAATAACCAAATCGATTAACGACTAATGTTCCGAATTAATTACGTAAGAATACGCAATCTACATTGCAAGGAATAATGCATTTTCAAAACTGTTACAGAGATGGCAGTATTGAAAATGTTAGTAACTTTCTATGTCATATAGGGATGGATTGTTACTTGTATAAATCGATTTACTTCCATAAGACCTACATCCCATTTGAACTATATCTCAAATGAACTACAGGGATTAATTAGGGATTACATGGTAGGTCATATAAATTTTATATACTAACGCTGTACGATTACACTTGGTTTAAACATATTTTCATTCTCAAAGAATCTTAATTGGTAAACAAGCCAAACTTTGCTTTATTAATACCTCACTAGTACATATATCACTTTTCCCCACTTTATTACAACAATCCACTCTAAAAATTGTCCAGCTGGGTTTTTATTCATATTTCGCTAAATCCAACCAAGACATAAATATGTTTGTTAGAGGTGACTTTGGCAACAAAACTGCCTTCCCAGTGCCGAAGACAGGTCACAGACAGATACATTACGGTATATGCAGAGGAGGGGCGGGGCGGCTGAAGATTTCCCAGGTTTGGTAAAACTTTCAGCTGGCATTATCGCAGCGGGGCCAGAGCCGAGACGTCCCAACCATTGTTTACCGTCTACAGTCGATGTAAGTACAGTCTGAATATGTAGAGAAGAATGTGTTGTAATATAAAGTTTATATATAGTTGTGAGGAAGTTGAACACTTGGCCCCTTGTCTCGTATTACCGACGTTTCCTACAGTGGTGGTATCTGCTGTGCGCTGTGAACTTGGCGAGGAGTTAGGTATGTAGGTCAGCATCTTTCAAGCTGGCAAGGAGCGCGGAGAAAACAGAGGTAAAGTTGCATGTGCATGTGCGAGTAGTACTACTGCTAGTGACGACAGACGGATGTCTATACTTAATATAGACATGGTTTAGTTTCCGTGTCCTGCATGTTGAATTAAAGTGTTGAAGTAAGAGGAAGTGTGATTCGTGTGCTGCTACATAGCTGATGTCAGCCTCTGCAGCAAGTAACTGGCGCCTCATCCGACTCGGCTGCATCAGCCTCGGCCCAGTATGTCTTCAGCTAAGGCTTATCTTTCATATATATTTTAATGATACTCGTGTTAAATATACAAGATCCGCGATTCGAGAAGAACTATAATACTGACAATGAGCTTTCACTGAGGAAACCAAAATATGCTCCATAAAGTTCTAAAACCTACAACTTAACTGTCGGACAAAGGAATATATGATGGTTGAAAATGCAATCGTGAAATGGTTAGTCGGTTGTGATGTATCCGACACAAGCATCTTGGTTGTGGTTTGGACTCTGCAGTGTTTCATGAAGAAGCTGTAGTTTTGTGGTTTTGTGGTTTTGTGGTCAAATGACATATTCACGAGCATACTCTCTTTCCCGGCTGTTGATAAGACAACAGTAGCATATATTGCATGTTTACTTTCAATACTTTCCCCAAGGGATGGGTGGGGTTGTTGTGAGTTTACACTCCGGTTTAACAAGGGTACAGTCTATTCTATTGCATGCAGGCACTGAACTGCTTTATATGGCATCCATTTATTTGTTGTTTATTGATACTACACTTTAATGACTTCCTTGACTGTGGGGGCGGTGGGGTAGCCTAGTGGTTAAAGCGTTGGCTCGTCACGCCGAAGACCCGGGTTCGAATCCCCACATGGGTACAATGTGTGAAGCCCATTTCTGGTGTCCCCCGCCGTGATGTTGCTGGAATATTGCTAAAAGCGGCGTTAAACCAAACTTAGTCAGTCAGTCAGTCCTGACTGTGTTGGCATATGCATGTTATTACAGATCTGTATCTGATGTCAAATTTAGACTGAGGACAGCGTTTAGCTTCAAAGACACCTGAGTCCACCATGTGTATTCTCATATGATTACTATTCACACCAGTGAAAAGCTCATATCCTTCATACCGCACAAACACCATCAATTTCCGTCTTAAACCAGTCAGTGTTAACGAAAGTCCTGATCGGATAATTTACACAATAAATAAGTCTATAAACAACTTATCTAAGCACTCCAATTGTCGACGCTCAAGTTAATGGGTCGTGTTTACACTGATTAGCAGGAGTGTGTCATTGACACACCTGGCGGAGCTGTGATGTTCATTAAACAGCACAGAGTTCAGAGTAAAACAATGGACAGTTACGTCACGCGTTCACTCCCCGCCTTCCGTCGCTGTAGCGGGTCTCACCCAGCTGGTATACTTCCGCTCTCCGGCACATGTACGGAAATCACTACTTTGTGACGTAACGAGGTCACCAGTAATTTAAGGTATTAATTAAATCCTTGCATAAAGCGTGAAGGAATTCATGATAACTTCATTGTATCTTGTTTATTCTGACGTGCTCGTCTGCAGTCTTTTAGGTGAGACCATATGATGCCATATATTTATCTTAAAATGGTTTGTGTAAGTATCATTTTGAATCCGCGGTGTCATGACGATAGGCTGAACTTAGTGGTTTCAAATCCGTTTTTTCTTTAACAAAAGTCGAAATCTATATGCCAATCTTTTCCTCATCCCCTGGTCGTGTATAGTCGCGTATCTGTAACCCCATGCCATCGCAAAGTGGTATATCATGCCTGTAACGATTCAAGCATAAGCTGACAGTGTTGTATTCTGGTGTGAGATCCGATGTACATGATAAGTGGTTCAGGCACACCAGTTAGGCAACTGAAGAGTTGATTCGGGAAGTTCCCTGGCTTTAGTACAGGGTCTACAGTTTAGATTGTTTAGACCATGTCTTCATATTATTCCTACCAGGTCTAAGTGTTCATATTATTTAGACCATCGTATGTCTCTACATATTATTACCTCCAGGGTCTAACTGTTCATGTTATTTAGACCATCGTATGTCTCTACATATTATTACCTCCAGGGTCTAACTGTTCAGACTGTCTAGATCACTTGCTGTCTCTTCATATTGTACTTACTAGGATTTATTGTTCAGATTATTTAGACCCTTTATCTTCACATTGTTCATACCTAGTCTAATAGTTCCGATTAATCCTACCAGGGTCTAGCTGTTCAGGTTAATCCTACATGGATGTTCAGATTATTCTGACATTGGTCTGAACTGTTCCGATAATTCAGATCTTTACAGTGAACGAGCCTGACAACTTCGTTGAGCATATATACTGTATCATATTGTAATCAGAACAAGACATGCACGTATTCTCGATAATTGTGACAGAACGAAATAAGCATCACATTTAACATAAAATCTACAGGTAGGCTACCCTCCCCTGACAATGAGTTAATGCATCAACTCTCCACAGCGCGTGTACCTCCTTCCGCTCAACGTACACGCTGCCGCACGGAAAGAAGGGGGCTTACAGGACTCTCTGTATCACATACGATAAGTAAAGTACTTGTCTATTGTTAATGTGTCAGCAGGAAAATGTCATTGACATTTTGAAGGCAGAACTTCTGCCCAGGGTGTCTACATGTGATATATATACCTAGTCATATTGGTAAGTACTAATGAAACGTGTGTACCTATGGACGACATACTAAATCCATATCTGCCTTGGTTGTTGTTTATGTTTGGGTCCGGAGACCCTGATGGCGAACCTCCCACATACACTGCGCCTGTTTCCTGCACTGCTAGCGTTATTCATCACTGGGAGTTTATTTATTATGTAATATTTGGTAATGTGTACTAAATGTTAAAAGTGGGCAGAAATTCTGTGTGGGATGTAAAAAATCCCTGTGGGGGGAATATTTGTTAGGGCCTACACCAACAAATGTCACTGGATTAGTTGTAGAGAGAAGGTTTACATGTAGAGGCACTCTCCTCAAGTCCAAGCAATTTGAGTATCGCAAGGTGATATTTTGTGGCTAGCTGTGTTTACCTTTTCTCTACCTTAGTTTGTCAAACAGCTAAATGTTGGCTGAGGATAATTTCTTTTCAACTAGAAATAGTTTTTGAGAAAATAGTATTATAATAAAGTAAATAATCAAGTCTGACGCGTCATTCATCAGTCATATCTGATGCAATTCTGTGTTTTAACATACGTTCGTGTATATTGTCCCATGGACACTCGACTTGTCTTTGCATGTGTTTGTGATGAATGTGACCTCAGGATATTATCAGCTGTTAGCGAACATTATTTCATTCTGATTAGTGATGTAGTACAATGAGCTCGTATAATTGTTAATTTTTATCGAAATGGTGATGTAGGTTTCGCTCCAGCGATTAGCACAGACAGATGTAAATAGTTACCGTTTGTAGTACAGAACAAGGATGTTGGTGTTTGTGTTACACATCCGCGTGTCACATTGCCACTTGCTCAATGGAAGTGGGAGAATCTCCATTGACCGATAATTATTCCAACTGTCATGTCGCTACTTAGCTACATAATATACAGTTTTGATTATATGCAGCCTGCTCACAATTCTATTATTTGGGACACACAACAGTTGCCAGTTTCACACATCAGCTGAAATCATCTGTCCATTCACATACAGCAAGCATCTGTCCCCCTCTCGCCCCACCTCCCGAAAAATGTATGTGATTTTACAAGCGCTTCTAGTGTATCTCTTCAATCTACAAGTTAGTTCAACCAAAGGTGTCATTTAGAGTAACGTCCCTTACTTTCGTCCTTGAGTTAGCGGCGTGTTTACACAAATCCCTGGCGTACGTTCGTGAGTAGGGCATTTGCAGGGGAAATAGTAAATTATCATTGGGCATATTCAATTTTAATTGCAATAGAGCGGTGACACTACCCTTATTGGTGATGATATTGTTTAGATACTGCTTTGGCAAACGTATGCTATTATGGTTGGGGACCGTTCATAATTTATGGCTGGGGTTGGGGGTGTTAATGATGATTTTTAAGGAGTAACATGTACAATGTATAGACCTCCCGAATATATATGTACAAAGTAATTAACCCCCAGCATGTCATGGTTGATGACCCCTACCCGCAGAACAAAATGGGTGCCAATCATTGAATGTCAATCTCACCGGCACTTCTTATTATCAATCTCAACTCCCTGGGGATCACAAGGCGCACCGAGTTATTGTGGCTTTCCTATCCTTACGAGGTACCCATTCACAGCTGGGTGGACTGGGACACATAGGCACAGTACTTTGTCCAAGTTTGCTGCACTTTACTGTACCCACAACTAGGTGTTTGCACGTATTCATGTGGCCACCATCTTGTCATATACCAACGGATTCGTGGGTTCTTTTGAGTGCACAGGGTTGTGTACTGTACACTAGGGGTCGTGACACCACTGAAAGAGTCTGCACACAGAGTTGACTCCAAGGTTTTTACACCCGGTCACAAGTGGGCTCGATCCCAGCACCTCATGCCCACTGGATCACTAGTCTGGCCCCTTAGCCAGCTCGCACACCACGCCCCATCAATAATGACGCCCCAGCGTAGTAATGACATCTTTTATCATAGGAGAAAACGCGTGCATGTCGCGTGATTGTTCTGAGCTGAAATTCACTAAAATAAATGGGTGACTGTGTGACCTGACATTGTACTAATGAATTTGGTGACGTCACTGGGTAACACCCTGCTCTTTATATGTTCAATTCGAGTTCGATATATATCGCAGCTTTGTACGATCTGCAAAGACACCATCAGTCAGCTGACGCGATATGGAGGTGTACATTTAGTTTGTTCTAAAGCAGAGGTATTGAATAATTTGTGAGATGAATTGCTGCAGTGATTTAAAACAACAACCAATGTTTATGTTTGTAGAGTTGAATCAACAAGAACTTGTAATGGCCTCCAGAGATCCTGATTATAACCCAGCTATGGAAGAAGAAGTACCCTCCCCTGATCAACAGGTGCGTTGTTTGTCATTTAAGAGTAGCGTTGTGAAGTGTTGCTGTCTTACCTGCGTGTCATGCTGGTAAATACTGGTACATGTCCTTAGCTAATGAAATAAATAAACAATATTATCTAGAACGCTCTGTCGTGCCTACATAGTCTATCAAAATTGTTGATGGCGTGATTGTTTAAAGTGGAGTTACATTACGGAATTGAACTTATAGAATGTTTAAAATAATGTTTCAAATTGTATCTCTGAAATAATTCCAGACACCGAGTATCAAGACACCCAAAACAAAGAGGAAGAAATCCGAGGACGGCGGCCCACGGACGCCCTCTGTTCGACAGCCTGGTGAGTGTGAGCACATTGTGTGTGTGTGAGTGAGTGTGGGTGATTGCCGGTGTTGTTTTATTGTTTTTCAGTTGTCTCCATACTCGCGCCTGTCATCATTTCTTTGCGTGTCTTGCTGATGTGACGTTACATATTAACTCACTCACTCACTCTTTTTGTGTGTAATTAAGTACATGCAAATTTCTATTGTCATGTCAACAAATGACTTTATGCACCAGTCTGTAATGCATGGAACGTTTATCATCCTTCTTTCCCAAGGAGAACACCCTGTCACTAGTCTAAATGTCTTTGGCCTTCCCACTGCACCTTATCTCTAATGAACACCTTTTGCGGGATTAGGTGCAGTGTTATAGTGTGTTTTAATTTGTCAATATTGCAGCCACTTATGCCGCCGTCCACATTGAAAACCTGGTCAAACCAAAGACAGAGTGTCTTATCCGTGCAATCGACCGCGCCCACGTTGAGAACATTAAGCGAGAAATGAGGGAGAAGCAGGTGACGAAGTTCACGCTCATTGTTGCCAACGTCTCCACGCCTGACATGCCCCCCATCAAGGATCTTCAGAAAGCAAGGTCCTGCCGCCTGGAGGTTCTGGGTGGGAACCACACCCGTCAGGCTGCCATGGAGTTGTGGGTAGAGACAGAGGACAAGAGGTACTTCACACACAGCATCACACTTCCTGAGTCTTGACACCCAATATTATTTAAATATCTGCGGGTTTGTCAAATACTTGCCACGCTTAGAAGCAAGGTAGCTGATGAACAGTCAAACATATGTCAGATTGTTGGTAATCTTTTAGAATGTTCCCGAAATGAATACTGCTAATGAATAACGTTACGATATAGCTCATAAATGCAAAACTATTTTAGCTGTATCTTTGGATGTGAACCTTCAATGCCAGAGAATTACCTGATCATCCGTTCAAATACATTCCACTGGGCGAAAAAGGAACAAAGCGGTGAAAATATGAATTGGTCACAGTTTTCGTCCTTGTTGTACAGGTATGCCCTATGGCCGTGCCAGTTGTACCATCAGCTGACGGAGGAAGAGTCCAAGGCCCTGGCCTATCTCCACAACAGGAACCACGAAGTGGCCAAACAGATGACCTTCCTGGACTATGTCCGGCTGTTTCGGACAGAGAGAGTGGCCTGTCAGAAGGCTGGAGCATCTCCAGAGACTCTTGAGTTTGAATGGAAGGAGAAACTTTGCCATATGATGTCACTGACGGTAAGTGCGGTGCGGTGCGGTGCGGTGCGGTGCAGTGTAGGAATCTTTATGGTTATGTGACTGAAGAGAGTATTTGTTTTCTCATGTTATGCAAATACTCACTCCAATAACTTCATACTGTGAAAAACACATGATGACAACGCAGCTGACCATATCAATTCCACACTTTTGTAAACTGTTAACTGACCAGGGCCAGTCTCCCTTCTTCACTGATCTGATTACTCCTCCTCGCAGAATACACCGAAAACACAATCAACCAAGTGTAAATATATATCAACATATATCATCACCTCAAATCTGTTGTGTTTCTTATGGAAAGTATTTGTAGATGCTGCTTTCGTCCATCTATAGCAGTATATATGTTTCATGTTTATAGAAGCGCATCCTGTCTGCCAACTACATGGCCGCACTCCGGGTGTCCTCCGTCAACGACACAGTCTGGCCACACTTGGCCTCGCTGTTCACTGCCTGGGACAAAGGTCATGTCAAAGGTCAGAAAAAGGGACCAATGAAAGCCTACTTCTTGGCTAACGCCCACTTCCTTGATGACCGAGAGCTGATCACGTGTATCAAGGACATGTTGAAAGGAGCTCTCTCGCCTCGGAGCTTTCAGAAACGATGTGCAGAGGCTGGCGCGAAGTTTAGGTGAGAATTGCTGCTTTCTATTGCCTTTTCATTTTGTTACAGTTTTACAAAGAGAACGAATTGATCAATGATAGAAACCATATTTCATCGAAATATTTTACTGTAAAATTATAAGGATACCTTGGATTTCCAAGCTACACTACTGGAGTTCCATGGGACAAGGATGACAACGCAAAATAGAAACTTCGTCCAAACATTGTTCCTCCCATTTTCATGTGTAAACATTGTGCATGATGTGGAAATTATCTACTTGACACTTTCGGATTAAGACATGTCAGCTGTTCTTGTAAACAACAACAACAAATAAATATCAGATTTTAATGTTTCCTCTATGGATAATGTGTGTTGTTTTATTTATGATCCAGTTTATAAACTGGATTCGGTTGTAAATCTGTTAAGTCTTGAATGCGATTATAACTATACGCTATTCGTTCATTTATCTGCGATTTCTACAGGCGACATCTGAAGAGACAGAGATCAAAGGACCAATACAGTGACGCAGAGAGCGACAATGGCGTGTCCATCCGCTCCAGGTCAACGTCAAACGAGGACAGTGAAGAAGACAGCGACAGCTTCAACTGTGATAGCCAGGTATTCTGCTCTACATCCACAATATGTGTCACGTGTATAATGTCATCTTGACAGAATGCAATACTATCAAAACCTCATTTACACAAAATCAATGTCAAATCAATGTAGAATTATTTCGATGAAACGATTTCTTAATCAAACGACTAGTTGTTCTTCACAACATGCAAATTCGTTTCGTTATATGTAGGTATGTTATACTCTGTGTCGTCTTGTCTTATGACACGATGCATGGAAACTTAACGCTTTATGGAATTTTATTTCACGTTTATATATGCTACGCCGCGAACTAATACTTTTTCTGTGTCTGACTTTGTTTGGTAGAGACAAAACAAGGTGAAGGTTATGTCAAAGAACAGCCACCACTCAAAGAGGCGCCGAACAGATAAGAAAGAACCGGATGTGCTGTTTGGCCAGCAGGTATTGATTGACGCTTCAGTATATACGGATACGTGGGTTAAAAGTCCGATTGACTAAGTTTGTGCTCGTGGGCTTGATCAGGGAGGTATTTAAGTTTATTTCATTAAGTTGACAGGCGTGATGTAACTTGAATACTGTTTAAAGCGACGTCACACCCAACTCGCGACGACAATATATAGAACATGGTAAGAAGTTGTACGCGATTCTGCATAATAGTAGTCTTTCATACAGATCCTGAAACAAATATACCCAATACAGCCTATGCAAGTCTAGAATATGTGGTAGCCAGATTACCACAGTGAAGACAGTCTCTGGCCACCTTTTTATTATATTGTATGAACAAAATTTACGAACCGGTTTTCTGTCAAATATGTTTATTTCAGAGACTAGATGTTAGTCTAATGAAATAAATCTAATATTTGTTTTGCCTTTGATAAAATGCAGTAACAATGTCATGATCGTAAAGTGCACATGTACAAGAGAGGCGGTGGAATAGCCTAATATAAAGCGTTGTTAAAGCATAGACTCGTCACGATGAAGAGTCGGGTTCGATTCTTCACATGGGTACAATGTGTGAAGCCTATTTCGGATGTCCCCCGTCGTGATATTGCTGAAATATTGCTAGAAGCGGCGTAAAATCATACTCACTCACATGTACAAGACCATGTAATCATACAGTAACTGCTTTGTCCCTTTGACGGATAAATAGACGATGTCATGTAGTTGTCATCCTAGAAATAAGCATATTATGAAAATCATTTCATGTTTTTATCGTTATTTGGATTAAAATGTAATTAAAACTTAATTTGATTCATGATTATATATACATATATACATCTTTCACACAGTCAACTACCACATTCATTAATAAAGTCATTGTGGTAACCAAAAGTAATTTACATGTATACACACAGTTTCACACATTCATCAACATAGTCATTTGGTTTTCAAGCTAGCTTGATCAAATATCCTGCAGCAGTCAGGAATTCCAGGGGTGTCTTGATACCAGATGTCAGCTGGGCCTTCAGACGAGTGAGTCCCTGGTCAATTTCTGTGTACGTCCTCTTGCGGGATTGGGGACGGGCGCCATGAGTCATCTGCACCAGCTTATTTCTCTCCGCTTTCTCCAGCTTCTGCAGAACCTTCACAAGAGCGAAAATGTTCGGGTGGGCTCTCTGGACGGTCTTGTTGAGATGCGAATGCCAACCCTCGAGATGATTGTTCGTCCTTGGGCCGCTGGTGTCGTGGTGATTCCATAGTCCGGCTCGGAACCGTGCATGGTCGTCTACCCAGGTGCTGGTGATGTAGTCCTGGAACTCATCCTTCTGTCCAATGGCAGGGGCGTCGTCCATGACCTCTATCCAGGCATTTTGTACCATGGCCACTGGGAGGAGGGGGAGTGCTGCTGCTCGTCGGACCCATCTGTGGACCTCAGGATCCTGCTGGTAGGCTTCGCTGAAGCCGAGGTTCTGTACTTTCCTCCAGAGAGCCTGGCTGTAGTGGAAATAGCATCCACGGACGTCGCAGTTGGGGAAGACGGTCTCAACAGCGTTGATGGCAGCGATTTCGAAATCTGGGTCATCTTCCCTCCGACTAGGCCATGGATGACGTACAGCTGATCCCAGAGAGGAGGACAGGAGTAGAAGGTGCCGTCCATGTAGAGGGTGTCCACTTCTTGCAGGAGGGTCAGGCGGTCACTTGTGGCGAAGCAGAGAATCTTGTCATCATCACCGTCATCAATGCAGAGGAAGGGCAGTCCATCTGTAGTCTCCTTGAAGAAGTCGGGTAGATTCACCTCGCTGAGCGTCTGGGGAAGTGGCGGCATCATCTTCCGTCTCTGCTTGTAGAGTCCACTCTTCATAGAATGGAACGACTTGACTGTTGCTGCTTCACCTCGGTCAAGTCGGGAAATCTCCTCATCGTAGATCACCTGAACTGGCGTCGTCTCAGTCTGTACCCGCTGCCTCAGGGAACTGGCAATCTTCAGGGCTACCTGGTCTTCTTGTGGGTGGTTGTGTGGGGCCTGATTCCGAACAAACTGTCCGACTGTCGTACACTTGCCAAAACAGCCACCTTGAACACACTTCCAGTGTACACACGTCTGTCGCCTGTTGTTGAGTCTGTAGCGGTATCCCTCCAAGAGTACCTGCTGTCCTCCTTTCTGTGATGTGAAGTATTCGACTTTCTTGGGATTTGCCATGATTTGCAATGAAGATTTGTATCACAAGCATTTTAAAGCAATACATTTCCTTCTCCCTTTAATAATCTCTCAATTAATTACTCTATTCTTCAATTTTAAAGCAATACATTTCCTTCTCCCTTTAATAATACTCTTCAATTTCCTTCTCGTGTGAGAACTAAATGCGTATGGAATTATCAAAACATGAGCTAGCTAACGATTTAATACTCTTGATCTTACTCTTTACTCTCCTTGCTGGCCTCCCCTAATCCCTTTGTAGGCAATAGTGCACACTAAGTGGAACAATCTACTTGTGTGCAGGTAAGCGTATCGCTGTCACTGCAAACGTTGTAGCTATTATTCCCTGTAGGCATTATTCCCTGTAGGCATTAGTAGACCTAACCTTTTTATCGCACCCAGCTCGTGAGGTTTTTTTAAATTTGAATGTTTAGGCTGAATCACCATGGTATATGATTCTATTTTTTAGACTGAATCTTTGACCAACCAACTCACACAACAGAAGGACACCAACAAAGAGGTGAGTGTCATAATCAGGGAAATCCTATGGCATTTAGACTTAGGATTGGTATCGTTGGTTCTAAAGAGGCAACTAAATGGATCGGGTTGACTGTAACTTGGTGTCCGGTGGATTCATGCTCTTTACCTTAATCTCAGCATTAGCCGGATTTGATAATTTTACGGACCGCTGTCAAATTTCTTCGTAAATGCATTTTCAAAGTAAAACAATGAAGAAGATAAGGGGAAATAATTATTCCGACTTCCTAGTCCCCGTTCCACAGACCTATCACAGGGCTGAGGTGATCGGAACTCCCATATTTAAAAGGTGGTTTTATACAATCGGCAGCAGGTGTACACACAATGATTTGTATCACCTGTTCCCAACGGAACATGGCGAAGTAAGGTTGTTTTGTCGGAACAAACGTCATTGTACTTATTCCATCACAAATATTACGCTTATGTCAAGTGCATAACCTATTAAATATCATCTATGACTGAGGGATGGGAGAAGGTGAAGACATATGTGGACGATATAATTACTTCATTACTCTGAGGGATGGTTAGGGCTAAGGTATATGAGTGCAACATGTAATTAACAATAGTGTAAACTGTTTAAAATGAGTCATTGCAAACATTCTTTGAACTTTAAAATAGCATCAGGATGATGTTTGGGAATGTTGTACTTTGAGGGTTTCCTGAGTACATACATCGGTCACTGAGGACGGAATACCTCAATGTAGGTGAGGTGAGGTGAAATTGGGTTTTACGTCGTGCTTGAGAATATTTCGCTCATATGACGACGTGCATGCGTGTGTATGTGTATGTGCGGCTGCTGGTACTAGCCCAGACTTAAGCTGGTTTTATAGTGCTAGCCCACTGAGATACCATGCCGCAGTGAAGCATGAATACCCCACTCAGACACATTATACTGACTCCGAGCCGACCAGTCCTTGTACCCATTATTGCCGAGCGCCAGGCAGGGACCAACAAGTAGCATATTTTAACGTCTTTTGGTATGACGCGCTCTCCGGGCGGACGCTCTAACCACTACACCACGGAGACAGTCATACCTCAATGTAGATTCAAAGACACATATTAGCGTTTTACAGACACCGAACCATGGTCGAGTTTGGGATGGTGTTAAATACACTTCCTTTTCCTTGTATTTGAGGGGCACCTGCACAAGAGGCGGTTTTCAATTTTTAGTGATGCTCGTTTCAGCTCCAGGCGCGATTAACGGAACAGGATGACGAACTTGTGAACCTGAGAGCTGATAACAATGTCATGATCGTAAAATGCACATGTTCAAGAGAGGCGGTGGGATAGCCTAATAAAAGCGTTGTCAAAGCGTTGACTCGTCACGATGAAGAGTCGGGTTCGATTCTTCACATGGGTTCAATGTGTGAAGCCTATTTCGGATGTCCCCCGTCGTGATATTGCTGAAATATTGCTAGAAGCGGCGTAAAATCATACTCACTCACATGTACAAGACCATGTAATCATACAGTAACTGCTTTGTCCCTTTGACGGATAAATAGACGATGTCATGTAGTTGTCATCCTAGAAATAAGCATATTATGAAAATCATTTCATGTTTTTATCGCACCCAGCTCGTGAGGTTTTTTTTAATTTGAATGTTTAGGCTGAATCACCATGGTATATGATTCTATTTTTTAGACTGAATCTTTGACCAACCAACTCACACAACAGAAGGACACCAACAAAGAGGTGAGTGTCATAATCAGGGAAATCCTATGGCATTTAGACTTAGGATTGGTATCGTTGGTTCTAAAGAGGCAACTAAATGGATCGGGTTGACTGTAACTTGGTGTCCGATGGATTCATGCTCTTTACCTTAATCTCAGGATTAGCCGGATTTGATAATTTTACGGACCGCTGTCAAAATTCTTTGTAAATGCATTTTCAAAGTAAAACAATGAAGAAGATAAGGGGAAATAATTATCCCGACTTCCTAGTCCCCGTTCCACAGACCTATCACAGGGATGAGGTGATCGGAACTCCCATATTTAAAAGGTGGTTTTATACAATCGGCAGCAGGTGTACACACAATGATTTGTATCACCAGTTCCCAACGGAGCATGGCGAAGTAAGGTTGTTTTGCCGGAACAAACGTCATTGTACATATTCCATCACAAATATTACGCTTATGTCAAGTGCATAACCTATTAAATATCATCTATGACTGAGGGATGGGAGAAGATGAAGACATATGTTGACTATATAATTACTTCATTACTCTGAGGGATGTTTAGGGCTAAGGTATATGAGTGCAACATGTAATTAACAATAGTGTAAACTGATTAAAATGAAGTCATTGCAAACATTCTTTGCACTTTAAACTAACATCAGGATGATGTCAGGGAATGTTGTACTCTGAAGGTTTCCTGAGTACATACATCAGTCACTGAGGACGGAATACCTCAATGTAGGTGGGGTGAAGCGAAATTGGGTTTTACGTCGTGCTTGAGAATATTTCGCTCATATGACGACGTGCATGCGTGTGTATGTGTATGTGCGGCTGCTTGTACTAGCCCAGACTTAAGCTGGTTTTAATATAGTGCTAGCCCACTGAGATACCATGCCGCAGTGAAGCATGAATACCCCACTCAGACACCATTATACTGACTCCGAGCCGACCAGTCCTTGTTGTACCCATTAATGCCGAGCGCCAGGCAGGGACCAACAAGTACCATATTTTAACGTCTTTTGGTATGACGCGGGCGGGGATCGAACCCGACCTTCCGCTCTCCGGGCGGACGCTCTAACCACTACACCACGGAGGCAGTCATACCTCAATGTAGATTCAAAGACACATATTAGCGTTTTACAGACACCGAACCATGGTCGAGTTTGGGATGGTGTTAAATACACTTCCTTTTCCTTGTATTTGAGGGGCACATGCACAAGAGGCGATTTTCAAATTTTTAGTGATGCTCGTTTCAGCTCCAGGCGCGATTAACGGAACAGGATGACGAACTTGTGAACCTGAGAGCTGACAATGCAATCGTGAGTATTTAAATACTTGCATGGACTAACACTTAGTCTCGGAATATACATAATGTTGATAGAAACAGATAATTCCCCTATGATTGAAAAGGAGCCCCAGTGAGTTGGGAGATTCAGACTGGACCTGAGGAAATCTAGACTAGTTTTATTTCAAGATTAAGCATTGCAGAAAGGGCTGGACGGAAGAGGAAAATATTGTGGTTCAGAGAATGTGAACTAATACATGTATTTTCAGGATATAGATATACACTGCATTATGTCCAATGTATTTCGGCCTCATATTTATATTTCTATATCATCTGTTTTTCTTTCTTAGAACAATAATCGGTCATGCTTGATACACTGAAATACTCCATATAGCGTTTGTTAACCCAACCCATTCCGGTCATTTTCTGAATTGCGCTGTGCAGAGTTATGTCCCCTTTGACGAGCCAGACTCGATGTACTCTGTGACCTGGTAACGTGAGCGATTTCATTTCGCGTTAAAACTGATCACCGCAACATAACTGAGCTGGTTCAAAACACTTAACGACTGGTTACAGGTGTCTTTGTGTCATAGGGAAGAATGCTTCATTTTATTACCTGCAGATTTTCGATTTTCTTTTCAGTTGGAACAAAAGGAAGCGAACCACCAGGAGGAAATAGCGCACCTCAAAACAAAAATAGCGAAGGTGAATTTTATAACAGATTCAAGTAAAATAATATTTAATGCTTGGTTCACATACATTCGAAAACAAGTGTCAAATATCATTGGTACCAGATTTACAAACAATCAAATTCTGTCATATGATAATTGTTGAAGGTACCTTACATGAGCGTCAACCTTTGTCTAGTATTGGTTCCATCGCGAAATCATTTGCCACTACGAGTGAGAAAGACGACAGGTCCCAAATATTATTTCATATGCAATTTGTATCAATTGTAAACTAGAATATATACTTGAATATGTATATCTGAACAAGACATACCTTTACTTTGCAGCTGGAGAAAAAGGAGAGGGATACGAGTGACGAATTACTCAAAGCCAAAGCGTGTCTCTCATTGTGTAGAAAGGTAATGGAGAATTACGTGCTTCTCGTTTCCCAATCTGGATATGCTAACACTGACAATTGTGTGTTATGGCTGTGTCTAAACTTAAATATATTACAAAACATATAACATTTTTATGGATGATTTTCATTCGCCTCACTGTCATGTTGATATAATATAAAATAGTAGTTTAGGCCATTACGATTACGATAAACTGTTCACAAGGCGAAATACATCTTTTCTGTTTATTTGTGGATATGGAGAAAATATGTCTTTTCAATTTATTTATGGTAGTGGATAAAATATGTCTTTTCAGTTTATTTATGGTAGTGGATAAAATATGTCTTTTCAGTTTATTTATGGTAGTGGATAAAATATGTCTTTTCAGTTTATTTATGGTAGTGGATAAAATATGTCTTTTCAGTTTATTTATGGTAGTGGGTAAAATATGTCTTTTCAGCTTATTTATGGTAGTGGATATAATATGTCTTTTCAGTTTATGGTAGTGGATAAAATGTGTCTTTTCAGTTTATGGTAGTGGAAAAATAAAATGTGTCTTTTCAGTTTATTTATGGTAATGGGTAAAATATGTCTTTTCAGCTCATCTTTATTAGTGGATGAAACATTATTTCTACTTCAAATATAATGCATACTTAGCCCATTAATAGTTAACTGTGCATATGCTCAAGATATGGTCACTTACAATTGAGATTTAATATGATTATGGAAACTGTGTTTCTCATTTTATTTAGAATTCAGATAAAAACAGAGCCCGCAAATCATGATCAGACTGTATGGTGATACAGTATATATTCGTAATACCGTTTAGTGGACTGCATGAACCTCTATTGAACAGTTATAGATAAGAAGAATATTTTGTGCCTGTTTTAAGAAAGTGACAAATTATAGATTTACGATATCACATATGATATCACTGACATGCGACAACACAGAAATCCGATGTGTCAGTAGATACTCATCTATATTAACAGGCTAAAATATGTGATTAATTATTTGTTCAATATCAATATGTCAGAAATCTATTTACGTATAAATCGAGGCAGTGATATGGATCTGGTTAAAGATTCTCTTAACCTTGGCGGGGATGTTTCGATGTTTCCTTGAATGTTACATTCACATTTCACTTTGTTGAAGATTCTCTTAATAATATACGTGCATCGTCTCTTCTAATATCGATTCATATCAATACAGCCTAATACACATATCAGCTTGCCTCAAATAACATTCTTCAAAATATCCACCATATTCCAAACCGAGGTGTCATTGCATTAAAAGTGTTGGTGAAGAAAGGGGATATAGTGAAGTATTTATCACAATATCGGACTTGTGTGGGCTTGGAGTCCGCTACTTCTGTCAGTAGAGACAGTACATGTAAGGGTTAAGCTACAGCTGAATTTGACCATTCCAAATATTCACTTATAGCAGAATATTTACATTAAAGAAACATCACAACAGCAAAATGATTTGGCACTGATGTAAGAACTTTGCCATGATAGTATCTGGGCCGCCAAATGAACACCATTTGTCAACGTTACTGTACAATCCCTGATTATAGTATTTACCTGCTGTTTCGGTCCTATACACCCAAATATATCAGTGTCATTCTGTTGAATAACATACACTACACATATTTCGCAGTTAAACATTCTCAAGGTACTGCATCTGATATTTTGATTGGTCGGTTTACCTCTCAAGATGCTTTGTTTCCCTGTACTAGCTATGGTTCACTCATCTCTCAAATGTGGCAATTTAAACAGAATGTGACGGTTTGGAATGGGTCAGCCCTAATTGTGACTCTGTATGTTTTCTAGGCGGAGACGGAGCTACGTGAGAAGGTGAAACAGATGGAATCATCGCTCCCATCCAGAAGTCATACAAGGCATGTAAGTCATTGGCCCCTTCGCGGATTGTTGTTTATACCCACAACCTCCCTCTTCAATATTACTATTAGGTATCTCTGAAATTTATAATATGTATAATAAATACTTTTGTATATTGGATGCCAAATGAAATGAAAATGAAATGGATATAAGGAAGCGCCCGTTCACAAATTAAGGTCGTTATATCCCAAATTCATTATTCGTATGGGGGCGATAATTACAAGGGATGTGGAGTTTTCGTCACAACGTTTTGGTTAATCAGCTTCGTCACATCCGAAGTAACGGCATTTGTTTATGTTTGTCCTTGCAGAAGCTCAAGGTGAACGACATTGTTGAGGCCCAGTGGGAAGACGGCCTGTGGTATCCAGCGTGTGTGGTGCAAGTTCTCAAGCATGGTCAGTGGTTTTGTCTTTTGTTGATTACTACATCTACTTGTTTACAAGGGGAGGTAGGGTAGCCTAGTAGTTAAAGCGTCTGCTCGCCACAAAGAAGGAATGGAATTGAAAATAAATAAATGGAAGCCACATACACACGACTATGCTAACGTTCGGAGGCACTTTTGGTTATATTCACGAACATAAATATATCCCGTTAAAAAACCGTATGATGCTGATTGTATGAAGAACGTGTAACTGCTAGTCAGCAGGCTGTTAGTGTTAGATCGGATATACATTGAAAAGTGTAGCGTTACAAAATTGCGTACAAAGTCACGCATTTTGTAGTGTATTAAGTAGGTAGTATTTCTCCTTGTTTCATAGAACTTGTTCTGTTTCAGATGCTTACCGTGTGAAGTTCCTGGAGGATAATATTGTGTGCGATGTACAGACAAGGTCAATAAAACCATTATTATGATATGAAGCCACAAGGTGTCATTTTATGTCTGTCGCCTGTTGTTTGGTTTTCAACAATGTAGTGTATTGGCTTAATGGTCAGATAGATTGGACAACTGTTATACAACTTTGATACCCCTCGCCTGACACATACAGATACTGATTTTTAAAATATAAATTACTTACAAGTAACAAACAGAAATATAAATAAATCAATACAATTTTAAAGATTATGTTTTCAAGAAAAACGTATAGTAAAATAATATATATATATATATATATATATATATATATATATATATATATATATGAACACAATATACAAACACATGAATGTACATGAATATACAAAGAAATCGACACATATAACAGCACACATAAACATCTATACACATATGGTATACACATACAAATACAGTACGAAATACACATTACATATATACATACACGCACGCATTTATGTATACACACATGCATAAAAGTACATACGCTATATTAACACATACACATGTACCTAATATATACATTGTTATGAAACTGTGTTATTCATTGTAAGGCAATGTTGAAATTGTGTTCCAGTGTTTCTGTTAGGATTCAGTAGGTCTGTGTGTCAGTCTACCTATCTATTTACGCATCGAGACGTGCACTCAAATGCACCCAGTGTAGTTTTGGGTGTTTTGTTTCTGCACTCGATCCTTGTTTGTCATTTGTATTCGATGCAGGTCAATACAACATGACATTTCTGTCACAGAATGTCGAACAACGACATCACTTTATATCCAGATATTACTGAACTATTATCCTTAACATGTTTACGGTTACCTCTGTTGCACTCTTTGTGAGTATTTCAAAACGGGCTTGAAAATCGTTGAGATAAATTAGTTATTTTACATAAAAGCACGGTGCCCGTCTGGATCGTGATATTTTGATGATGCACGCTTAAAGAGTTTCAATCAAGCGGGATATCTTTCCTCTTACAATTATGGTAAGGCAAATACACGAACAATATGCACTGAAGTAAACCTACACCGGAAACGATGTATATAAATGCATCGTTTCCGAATATACCCATCATCAGGCCGCAAATAAAGGGACCAATCGAAATTCCAGCATTGCCGAAAAGCAAAACCGCATTTAAAAGTCTCGCTGATCCACCCGAATACTTCTTTATCCATGCAAGAAGGCCAGGGAATATGGGCCCTATTCCGACAGCAAACAGAAGACTGTTTGTCCACATCATGATGATACTAGTGTCCTTAAATATCAGGAACAGAACAGATGTTACACCGGTGAGCAAGATGTAGAATAGCATCATTATGTCAAGTTTTACCCTTACTGAGAGAAAGATACCGCATATTCTGCTAAGGAAAATGCCGACGGAATAGGCTGAATACATTACGGACACGTCGCGGAGACTCAGGTTTAGCTGCGTGTGAATTCCATAGGTTACGAAGAGCTCCTGAAAGGGTGCAAGACACACAGAGCAGGTAAAGCTAACACACAAGATTAAACACACAAACAGTGGACTTGTACTGGCTGATGGACTCCTGTGCCTTGGTGGGATTACTTCCATTGAGTCACCTTCCTTTAAGAAAGTTTGGTAGCAACACATGACGCCTGCAGCCACAAGAAGACTTAATCCTGACACTATTATGTAGAGGTATTGTATGTTGGTATTGAAACCGATGCACCAGTGCTCTGGGATTGAGTGTGTTCTTGTCGCATTGCCAAATGATTCTTCTGCACCAATGTCCTGTTGATTGTGCCTGAAGAGATTAGACACGAGGGGAAATGTTATCGTACTGAATGACGATCCTGATTGTACTATGAACACACCAAAAACGTTGTTTGGCCATAGGGCGAAGCAGTGTAAAGTTCGCACTGAAATAAATAACAAAGAGTAACACAGAGATTTCAATACATGTAGCATCACAGAAAGGATTAACATATTCCCCATAGCAAAATGACATACGGGAGTAATTATTTGCGTGAGTCTCTATTAAATGTCATTACACATGTACATATACCAGTACATCTATCCATGTTAAAGAACATTGGCACGTGGAACAACAAGGTCTGAACCAGCACCATACCAGTTGTGCTAGGTTTCGTTGCTGGAGGATCGCAAGGAAATTGTAACTTCATTCCTTCATCAAGGACATTATTTTGGTCTTGATGTGGAAGCTGTAGATGTTATTATAATGCGTGAAAATGAAAAGAAATGCAACAGGAATTGTGCTTAGAAAACGTTTCCTGAAATCTGGGGATATGACATTACTTCAAGAAGTGACCATACCCAGTGGTCGTTTTTGTTTGATAAAGATTCCAACATTTAAGGCCTTGGTATGCTTTAAAGAAATTTGATGGTAGATATGTTTGATGTGGACGTTTCCAATGTTTGACGAATCAGTGACAAGAGATGTGACCGATGCAATTCCGTTGTTAACAAGTACCATTTGTTTTACCAGCGAACAACTGAAAATGTATAACTGGCGAGTGCACCGGTCTTGCTCATAGTGAAAACTTATTCTACTTTTCTTTGATCTGAGTCCTGTGCTCTCCGCTTTGAGAAGAGAGTTGTTAGGATTATAGCTAGGGATTTGCTGATTTTCTTTTGCAAATTGTATTGGGGGTATCTAAATGTGATGGGATCTCCCAAATGTGGTAATTGGGGATATATATGCTCGTTAAGGGGGTTACTATCTCATCATCTTCGATCATGTTTATGTTTGTGTAAATGAATATATCAGAGGTGGTATAGAGTGAAGGCTATGCTAGTTATAGAAGTAAGATATTTCCAAGCTGGTAAGTGATGACTATGTGAAACTAAATATATGACAGAAACCTACCCCAAAACACTTGGCGAATGTCTATTATAGATATTCTAGACAACTGTGCATTAACACATGTATTATATTATTATATATATTTTTAGAATAAAAACCTTAAACCTTGGACCTTGATAGTGCTGTAATGGTGAGTGAGTGAGTTAAAATTTTACATCGCATCGGCAATATTACAGCCATATAGCGATGAAAACAAGGTAATCAATCTAAATAGCTGTCGACAAAGGACAGTAAAACAACTAGAATATCACAGATATAAATGTAAAACTAGTAATTAAATCTAAAACATTTTAACTATAGAGGACAACACAAGATAAAAATAGGCTATAGATCGCCAACAACTGAAGGTAGATCACCACACCAGGGACCATGGGGACTTACAGTACCTTTGCTACCTGCATGGCCCCTAGTTGGATTTACACCATCCCTTCAGCCGTTGGCGATTGTAGGAAATATTTAGCCAACTTTAAAAGAACAAAAATACTACGTTTTAAAAATCAGGTAAACTTAAATTTAGCTTTGAAAGTTTTGGGACTTACATACCCTCTCAGAAGGACAATAATTTTACAATACTTTAACCCCCTTTGAGGGTACAGCCACTAACAATCTAAGTTACTAATCTCAACTACCAATCTTTAAAATATAGCTATTTACAAAACACATTACTCAGAATTCATCGAATAAATCAATCTCTTTTAAAAACACAATAATTAAATGAAAATTAACATTTGTAAAAAGATCCTCTATTGTTTTTACATTGTAATGGTGTAAGAGGTAATCCCTTTCTGCGCAATAGCCGTGTGAGGCAATCTTAGTGTACGCTGTAGTCTGAAATATCACAAAAGAGGTATGAGGCAATCTTAGTGTACGCTGTAGTCTGAAATATCACAAAAGAGGTATGAGGCAATCTCAGTGTACGCTGTAGTCTGAAATATCACAAAAGAGGTATGAGGCAATCTTAGTGTACGCTGTAGTCTGAAATATCACAAAAGAGATATGAGGCAATCTGAGTGTACGCTGTAGTCTGAAATATCACAAAAGAGGAGGCATGCGGCAATCTAAAGAGGTATGAGGCAATCTTAGTATACGCTGTAGTCTGAAATATCACAAAAGAGGTATGAGGCAATCTTAGTGTACGCTGTAGTCTGAAATATCACAAAAGAGGTATGAGGCAATCTTAGTGTACGCTGTAGTCTGAAATATCACAAAAGAGGTATATCACAAAAGAGGTAGGCAATCTTAATCTTAGTCTGTGTACGAGGTATGAGGCAATGTAGTCTGAAGTCTGAAATATCACAAAAGAGGTATGAGGCAATCTTAGTGTACGCTGTAGTCTGAAATATCACAAAAGAGGTATGAGGCAATCTTAGTGTACGCTGTAGTCTGAAATATCACAAAAGAGGTATGAGGCAATCTTAGTGTACGCTGTAGTCTGAAATATCACAAAAGAGGTATGAGGCAATCTTAGTGTACGCTGTAGTCTGAAATATCACAAAAGAGGTATGAGGCAATCTTAGTGTACGCTGTCTGAAATCACAAAAGAGGTATGAGGCAATCTTATATCACAAAAAAGAGGTATGAGGCAATCTTGAGTGTACGCTGTAGTCTGAAATATCACAAAAGAGGTATGAGGCAATCTGTAGTCTGTGTACGCTGTAGTCTGAAATATCACAAAAGAGGTATGAGGCAATCTTAGTGTACGCTGTAGTCTGAAATATCACAAAAGAGGTATGAGGCAATCTTAGTGTACGCTGTAGTCTGAAATATCACAAAAGAGGTATGAGGCAATCTCAGTGTACGCTGTAGTCTGAAATATCACAAAAGAGGTATGGGCAATGAGGTAGTCAATCTATAGTGTACGCTGTAGTCTGAAATATCACAAAAGAGGTATGAAATATCACAGTCTGAAATATCACAAAAGAGGTATGAGGCAATCTTAGTATACGCTGTAGTCTGAAATATCACAAAAGAGATATGAAGGCAATCTTAGTGTACGCTGTAGTCTGACGCTGTAATATCACAAAAGAGGTATGAGGCAATCTTAGTGTACGCTGTAGTCTGAAATATCACAAAAAGAGGTATGAGGCAATCTTAGTGTACGCTGTAGTCAATCTTAATATACGCTGTAGTCTGAAATATCACAAAAGAGATATGAGGCAATCTTAGTGTACGCTGTAGTCTGAAATATCACAAAAGAGGTATGAGGCAATCTTAGTGTACGCTGTAGTCTGAAATATCACAAAAGAGGTATGAGGCAATCTTAGTGTACGCTGTAGTCTGAAATATCACAAAAGAGATATGAGGCAATCGTGAGTGTACGCTGTAGTCTGAAATATCACAAAAGAGGCATCAGGTATTTTTAGTGTCTGCTGTAGTGCTAAAAGATCGTGATAGGGGTATGAGGCAATCTCAGTGTACGCTGTAGTCTGATATATCATATAAAGATGCATGAGGGAATCTTAGTGTCTGCTGTAGTGCTAAAAGATCGTGATAGGGGTATGAGGCAATATCAGTGTACGCTGTAGTGTGAAATATTATTAAAAGATGCATGAGGGAATCTTAGTGTCTGCTGTAGTGCTAAAAGATCGTTATAGGGGTATGAGGCAATCTCAGTGTACGCTGTAGTGTGAAATATCAGATAAAGATGCATGAGGGAATCTTAGTGTATGTTGTAGTGCTAAAAGATCGTAATAGGGGTATGAGGCAATATCAGTGTTCGCTGTATTGATGTCATCATTGAATAAGACAATATCAGTGTTGAAGTCATCATAGTATAAGACAATCTGAGTGCACACGGCAGTGCTGCAACATACAGGTTTGAGACAATCTCACTGTACGTTATTGTCCTGTGACATCACCGCAGAGGTATAAGGCGATCTCTGTCAGAATCATTTGCGATGTTGTCCAAATGTGAGAAAGTTGTATAGGCTAAAAAGTAAAATGATGTACAAAAGGCGACCGCTTACCAAATACACATGTTCCTGTACACCAGCCAGCAATGAGGAGCAAGAAGATGGTCAGCCACAAGAACGGAGACGTGGGTACAGCAGCAATAACCACAGCGTTCAATACCAATATTGTCGCCAGGAGCAGAAAAGTATCCATCTTGTCTTTGATGAAGTGGCCTGTCAGGCTACTACAACACATACCTAAACCATAGGCAAACAGGAGGGAGCTGGATGTCTTCAGGTCCACGCCCAGCAAACATTGGATGTCGGGTAAGGTTACTCCGATCAAAGGTTGAGACATCTGTATGAATTTAACATTCATTACTATCTTGAAGAGATAACCTTTTTAATGACAATTCACATTTAAAACGCATTGTGTGATAACAATACCAGGCGACGGTACAATATCACACCGTAACTGCCTACCACCAGCTCATCATCAAAGAATGCTAATCCTAATATTCTCCTGTCCACCCTTCCACCACCCCACTAAACCCTCCCAAATGTAATTCTGCTTGTGTAACAATTGCCTTTTTGTGTAAACATCCTCCAACCTTGTACATTGTCTGCACTGAATGGTATATGTTACATTCACATGCCCCACATACACTATTACGTTGATACAGTTTATGTTACAACGTTTGTGTTTTAATCAATATGTGAACAACTGAAGCGAGGAAAACTAACAACACTAACATCACTACTCTCTTGTCTGATAGAAATCGTTATCATTACAACTCTTATTCTTTAGAACCTAACCATTTTGTTTTGTCGAGATACATTTTGAACAAAACATTCATTGTAATACTCGTTTAGTAAATCATATGCATCCATAAATATCGAAAATGAGGTATGTTTAGTTTGCAAACAGTTGAAGTGGAAATGACAAAGCCACTGTAATTTGAATAATGTTTATAATTAGCAGAGACTATTTATCGAGTGACGGACCTCAGAGATAATTAGGAACTGTTCACTGTCGCACGAGACAAAGCGATATCTACCGCAAGGCTGTGCCAGATCTACGACATTCGGTGGCTCACATCGGAGTTTTTACCTTCATCTTCCACGGTAAGTTGAAATACTTACTTGTAAAGGACGATAACCATTTATAGTAGATGTTTGACATATGTTTGCAGCACATAGTATCTTCGAAAGGAATGTACCATGCACTAAGGTGATCCCTTCGTTGTTCACAAAGAAAATGGCGTCCCTCGGCGAAATCGGGGAAAATACACACTTATTGTATTGGACGATCGGTTATACTTTTCTCACGCTGTGTAAATTGATTCGTAAATTGTTTTGGTCATCTGTTAAAATTGGCAATCAAAGTGTGACTTCAACATATATGATGCTAACGTTCATCACCCCGAGTTTTGTGTGTTCTTTCCTTACATGGACTCGTTCAGCGTGTGTCTGTTCCGAAACATGTTCGAGGACACACTCTGGATCTCATCATCACTAGAGACGAGGAACCCGACTTAAAGATCACCGGCGTTGATCAGTCAGTTCAATCTAATCATATTGCTATCCTCGCAAGAGCAAGCTTTTCTATACCCAGAAGAACAAGTCAGTAGCTATCATTCCGGAAATGGGGCTGTATCAGTCTTCCTGTTCTGAAGTCAGCTCTTTCCACCGCTCTTGAAGGAAATTCTGAGCTTAATGTTGAAGCATGTGCCCGTCGTTAGGACTGTGAAGTCCATAAAGTCATTGATGACCTTGTTCCAATAACCAAACGTATTGTAACAGTTCACTCAAAATGACTAATTCCGGGCAGCAAAACAGTATCGACGACAGTTGGAGAGGCGGATGAGATCGTTTGACCTGGTAGTATTCAAAGAGATGCATTCTGCCCAGCACAATGCTGTCAATGCCTTTGCATACGAGGCAAAGAAAACCTTCTTCAATGACGCATTTGAACATTCTAAAGGTCAAAAGGATCTTTATCGATTGTGTAACAGACTTTTTTTTAAAGAAGCATTCAAAGCCTCTGCCAAACTATGACCATGCTAAACTCGAAATGGTGAATACATTCGCCAAGTATTTCACTGAAACGATTGAAATTCTTCGTTCAAGTCTGGAAAGTGGAACTGTGAGACCTGTTACCATCATCCCCACAGTGGCGTTCATGAGAATCATACATCTCTGTTCTCATTTTCCCAGATTCACCTGAACGAAACCAGAAAACTTATCTCTCATTGTCCAAACACATGTTAATCTCTGGACCGGTACCGACATGCCTCCTCTATTTGGATGAGTCTGTTCCTGTGATGACTCACATTGTAAATCAATCCTTTCTTAAATCTTTTGTTCCTGCAGATTGTAAGAAAGCTTTTGTGTCGCCTTTGTTTAAGAAACACAACCGGACGCAGAGCTTTAAAAAAACCTATAGACCTGCAGGGGCGGATACAGCTTTTTCAGAAAGGTGGGGTGCACACTATTGAGCAAAGGAGGGGTGCACACTTCATTTTCATGAGAGTTTCAATGGTCATTTAATAAACTTTCAGGGCAAAAGGGGGGGGGGGGGTGGTGCGCACCCCTGCACCCCCCTCTGGATCCGCCTATGACCTGTCTCCAATGTTTCGTTTGCATCCAAGTTACTCGAACAAGTTATTGCTTTTTAACTAAAACAGCATCTGAGGAGTACCGGTCAGTCGATAGTGCTACAGTCTGTTTACAGAAAAGGGCAAAGTACTGAGACTGCTCTTGGTCGTGTTCAGAACGATCTTCTCCAGGCAGTTGACATGATAAAGATGGTGCAGCGACAATACTGGTACTCCTTGATCTTGCATCCGCATTTGATACGCTCACCTTTTCGCGAACAGCTGGTACCATCACTATTTCCTAATGATTCATAAACACATGCTCCGTCATAGTATCGCATGGTGACAATTACTGGAGTGTCTGGTTTAGACCCGATTTGTTTACAAACAACATCAGACAGCTGTAATACTGCTGAAACAAATATCTGCTCATGATATAGTCACAACTGTACAATCGACTCTGCTTTTGGCAGAGATTTCTTAAGAATATGGAAAGGGTTTTGCCGCTTCTATTTGATACTATCGTTCAGAGAATACTACTTCGCACTCAAGAGGAGAGATGTGGAGTTACTGGAGATGCGCTACTCTGGCTGAAATCGTATCTGCAAAACCGATATCAGGCTATATGGGTAGTTGAAGCTCCGAAATGACAGAGCTCAAGGTTCGGTACTTGGACCTATACTTTTCACGATGTACACTTCTCCACAATTTCTGCTTTCACCTACACGCAATATAGAATAATCAATTGAAGTTTCTTCTTCATCTAGCAACAAAAATAGTGGCACCGAGTGGTTTACCTATTTCGAACACTTGCTAAACTCTGGAACAACGGATTAAAGAATTATTGATGACATAACAAACGACATATCAGATCATGACTCTCATTGTAATGATTGTAACCAACGATTTCCTGATCAACTCAACGACGGAATAACACTGCGTGAAGTCACAGATACTATACGGAATCTTAGATGTCGAAAAGCACCAGGCTGGGATGGTCTTTCATCAGAGTTATTGAAACCTTCTGTCAATCGCATTTCAGTCAGTTTGACATACCTTTTTAATGAAATATTGGCAACTGGTAATTTACCAATGACATGGTGCAAAGCTATTATCTGCCCACTACACAAAAATGCTTCTTTATCCGATCCAAATAATTATAGAGAATTTCGCTCCTGTCGGTGATTGGAAAGATATTCACTTAAATATTAAACCAGCTACGTCTCGTATTAGAAGTATCTCGGACTTCATTTGACACCAAAACTAGCGTGGACTAGATCGAGACAGGTGTTGGCACAACAGACGGAGAAAGTATGTCTACAGATATACATATACTTCATCATTTATGTGGCGGATTACAGGTAACCACTGCAATGAGGATATTAAATGGCCCTGTCACTTACATACGGCTCCGAGCTCTTGGGATATGAGGGATAATTCACCAACTTACTTCTGTGAATTTGTCTAAATATATAATATTTTGCTATGAAATTGCATGAATCACTTCATTTGTAATCACACTATTGAAATGTTAAGTACCGTGGGCCTGTGGCCTAGAAAAACATGAATAAAACTTCTGACGCAGTTTGAAACATTTAAATCACTACTGAAATGAAAACTCATTTGTTCAAAGTCTGCTACTGCTAGACTATGTGTATTCCCAGGACAGTCCATTGCTCACAGGCGCTTTCGAGCAGTTAATAGTCCTGAAAACAAGCACTAAACAAGTGTTTACAGATTAAGATGAAAATGCAGCAGAGAGAGTTCGGGTGATCCTCGCACAGTCAGGCTGGTAAGGCTCATCATCAGCTCAGGGCCCTCGCCCCCTCTACACGCAGCCAAGATAGCGAATGGAAACGCTGCCCAGTCGAACCAACTAAGAACTTTCCGGAGAAGAAGACTCCCTACCACTGCAGCATTCTTCATTACCCATAGTGCCAGGAGAACTGTGCTCCCGGTGGAGAACCGGGGCAATCTTCTGATCTGCGCCAAGGGATCAGGAGGTACCAAACCAAGGGCACCGACAGTGTACTTGGGATGCCATCGAGACATTGTATATTTAGCATGCTTTTCCTGAATCTTGCCAATCACGTTGCTGTCAAAAGGGACAGAAAATTCAATGATACAAATAAATTCATTGGCCTTATCAAAAAGGGCAAGATCAGGTTTGTTGACTGGAATTCGTCTTAGGCTGTATATGGGCCTATTCCAAAGAAGTTTGAAATCATCATTTTTCATGACGCCCTGGACATGTTCAGGGTCGTAGACAATAGTAGAAGCAGCAAGCCATGCTATCATGTCGTTTAAGATATACTGTTTGTGCCAAGGAAGGGCATCCACTGACAAGGTGCTGGACAGTCTCTGTTAATGCTTTGCAAAGTCGACATTTCATGTTAATATTTTCTTTAAGAATCATATTTAGGCGATTGTGAGTGGGAAGTGACTGGTCCTGGGCAGCCCTCTGTTTCACATTTAAGACCAGCCGACTTCATCCAGGTAAAGGATTCGGTTGAATTGCTATTCTGTTTCACACACTGCATGTACAAACGGTGCAGTGGCTTCTCAGAAAGCTTCTCCATAAATGACTGACCCTGGGTAGACTTGGTGAATGACTTCACCTGGTTTACTCCCATCGCTCTACCGTAGAGCACTACATCACCATCTGTTATCATTATCGCAACCCTGTTATTTGGTCATACTGAAAACATGTCACTATGCCATATCTTGTGGTACACTTATTTTAGTAATAAATCTCTCTATGAGAATGCCACTTGTCCCTTTGCATTTGGCACTCATTTCTGCATGGATTGATATGGAACAATATGTTTCGATAATTTGAAAGTTTTTTTCCGATGATGTAAAAAAACACTATAAATCACAAATAAAGCCCAAGCTAAAACATTTCAGGGTATCACTTATCATTTCCTTTTGTTAAAATCAGTGATTTTTAATATTAAAGCAAATTTGAGTGAAGATTGTTCAGGCTTCAAATTTATTTTTCATATTACTTACATCCATATCTCTATATTAGTTCTCCCTTATCACAATCACTATACTGTAGATGTATGTTCTGTACTAAATATTTCACTGTTCTAATATTTTTGAAGTGTCAAACATTTTATACAAACTGTAAACATGTAAAGTACACGCATATGTTTAGCTTACATTTGATTGTTTATGTTTCCGGTATATGTAATGAGTTATAAATGTTGTCAATATATCAGTGGAATTACCGTAGTATAGGCAGCACCAAACAACACCGTCGTGTAGATGATGCGGTTTGCGTTGGTGATGTCATCCCTGCAGGAAATAGTGGTCCAATTACATGTACAATACAAATTAAATATTTCCATAAAGAGGACAATATTAGACTGGACAAAAAGTGACACGTGTGCTCTCTTTCCAGAGACACACATTAATATTGTCTAAATCTGCGCAAACCTTATCCTAAAAAGCAATGCATTTTGAAATAGATTTTAACTTCATTTTGTTTTTAAAAATATGCGATGTTTGGGACAGGTATTGATTCACCTGAATTGCTAGTATTAAGGCTTTCATGCATATTAGGCATCCCCCCAGGGATATAAATAAATGCTGCAGCCACAGCAAGGGCGGTAAATGTAATATGAGAAGCCACTAAAGATGCCGGTATTCTAACTGTCAACAGGAATGCATTCCAAGAGTGGCCATTATGAACAACGGGAGAGTTCTATGGATATATGACTTCTTTATTTTTAATATGAGCGACGTTTCGGTTTAGCTGCTAACACCGTTATCAAGAAAATGCTCGTTAAAGAATAATACAGAAGTTGTATATCCACAGAACTCTCCCCGTTGCTCATCACACCAACTTCTAAACTCAAGAAAGTGGCCATGTTGTCAAATCATAACGTGGCAATTAGCCGTGAAGAGCTGCTACCCATAGGCATGACAACAACATGTGCAAAAGGGTGCAAACCTCAGTTAATCGCCCTGAGGTTCCACGTGGTAAACATCAATCAGCCGACCATTTGATAGTGTTGGACTACCTGTGACATGATTAAGATACGAATAATTTGTAATCCGGTTGTAGTAAAACAAAAACATCAATTGGTTTTCAAACCAAACTATTAGTTCTGGTAAGTCAACATTTAGTCTACGAACCGCTTACCTGGCTTTCATAGTTCACGTTCAGTCTGGGAGCTCTGCTATGTGTCACTTGAAGTTACTGAAGTAGAAGCATCAAATCTTTATGAAACTACCATGTATTAATCCGTTCATCTGTCTAGCAAAATATTCTTATCGTGTTTGACGTAGGTCTAAAATGAATTCCAGTCTACATTGAAAGTAAGGCGTCCTGGATTAAAGTTGCCAAATGTGAATGAGCTCAATGAAATTTCTGGTTGGCATATCGTCTCAAACGGTTGTTGTAGCATAAAACAGGGAGTGTGAGGCGAACCCTTTCTGACGGTGACATGTTTCCAGTTGTGAGTGCATTATGCCTAGGGCCTGCAACTTAATGATGCTGTCTCGTTTTTACCCCTTGTACTGAATTGTTTCTCTATTTATATTTGTAAACCCAAGGTTGTGCTTTTCCTTTTCAGTGAATTAGTTGAATACACAAAGCCATAAAGAAAGTGATCAGAAGCAACATCTATTTCATGACACTTTCACAGTAAAGTACAGATTCTGATATTTTGGGGTTTAGTCCCGTCGTGATGTGGAAGCGCGATATTCTGGTGGCTGAGTGGGCTAGATTGCTCTTTTTGTGTGCTAGCGACTACATGACTCAAACCGAGAGTGTTGGTTCGAATCCCGAATGGGAAACATATTGGAATTCATACTTCTTTCTTTGTCGTGTTACTATCAATACAGCATATCAAATGTTTAATATTATAATGACATAATGGCCAATAGTTGTGATATAACACTTCCTACTGTATTGTAGACGTAAGTGATGGATTATCATTACACAGTAAGTTATCACTGAAATAAGGTATTGGTCGCTCACGCTACACATGGATCTGAGGACACCTAAATACAAGTCATGACCTTCGCGATCTTGATGATCTTGTTGTTTATTCCCAAATTGAAAAGCAGTATTGAGCCTGATTATGGGTACATACAGAACTAAATTGTGAAATAGGCCAAGAACCACCTGAGACAAATGAGAATTAACATCATAGACTGAAATTCACAGCCAAAGGTCTAAACTCATACAAAGCAATTCAATAGCAATTTATATAAGAATTGACTCAAGACGTCAAAATGTGCAGCAATAAATATTAGGTCTTATTCCAAAGGTGGGTGCACACACGGGTATCTGGTATTTGTCACAGATAAAGACTTACCGTGTGCGAAATACGCATTATGTTGGAAAGCGCACGGTAAATCTCCAAATCATCATCATCATCTTCTTGAACGAGGCACGTCCTCCATAAGCGAAACCTCCGTATGTACACCCTACTGCCACAATTATCATCAGAAATTAGCTTCTACTTTTCGAGGGTAACAATGCTAGTTTCAGAATAGAATAATCCATTCCTACCTACGCTTAAAAATATTTTCACAAAGCTCAATATGAAAACTGAAGAAAATAAAATTCTTGAATTATACCTTACGAATGTCCGAGATTGTATGGTCTCACTTCCAACGGAAAGTTACTTCAGTTCCAGTCAAAGCGAGAGACAGGAGTTGATTTTGACGAGAAGCCTATTGTTTCCTCACTGCTGGTTTCTCTGATTTAGTTCCACCGTGTCATAACAAGATGCTCTGTTTTGTCGGGTTATTGTCATGGGATATTCTCAGATCTGTATGTAGCACTGGTGTGCGCATACGAGTCAGCAACTGGCAACACCTGTTACAATAAACCATTTGCCAAGTCAGTTATGAAGCACATATATATGGTAATACTGAGAGCTTTATTCAGTGTTCTTCGTGATGATCAAAAGCAATGTGTGGGTGAATGGGAAATAGGGTCCTTAATTAAGAGTGAACAAGTAGTTTAGAGGTTAAATGTATAGCTGGTCATGACACGGTGCTTTGACTATACAGCTGGTAGGTGTTCATGTTGCAGGGTTGAGACAGGTGTATTTCCAGAAGAAATGGGTATAGCACTGGCTGCCTGAGGTAAACGGGGGTTACAGTAGTAACAGATCTGTCTGACAACACCCACAACAGTGACCTGAGGACACAAACTGGTAATATATTTGTGTTTCATTTGGATATACTCATTTTACAGGAAGTTCTTAGAAACTCTCGAGGAGATATAGGTGAGTGAATGAAAATGTCAGCCACAAGAAGTTGTGGAAAGAAAGTCGGGATAAACCGACAAACGAAAATATGATGACATGCATGATAGATTGTGATGTTTGAGCTCATCTTAAACCAGTAAACCAACCAGAATAGGCAGACTGGTGCACTCTCACAATCAAGCCTTAAACGTCTTTCCATGTCTCATACTTACTCACTACCAGCACCAGTGTTGGACTTCCTCGGCCGAAGTCTTTTAATAGGACAGATGTGACTGGAGGTTAATAGGTCCACTATAGACCTTCACGTGTGTTTGTTCATGCGTTCGGAAAAGAGTCAAGAATCCTCGGATACTGACATTTTACTTCCCTCTTCTTTCGACATCTGGACTGAAATACAAGGGAATAACTTTGGCTTGGAATTAACACGCAGAAGTCTTGTCGAGATAAGAGTCCGGGGGAAATCCGAGTTCGAATCCAGTTTGTGTTCGCCCTTTACTACCGCTAGAGACATGTGCACTCAATCCCAAAGGATGAATGAGTGAGTATGGTTTACGCCGCTACATATTCTAGCAATATATGGCAGGGGACACCAGAAATGGGCTACACTCTTTGCACGCATGCTGGGAATCGAACCCTTCGCGTGATGAAGGAACGCGTTAACACTAGGCTACCCCACTGCCCCTAATTTCAAATGGATATCATCGCAATACGAACATTTTCAGCCATACGAACAACAACAGTAATGCATGAAAGAATTACCTCAGCTTCAAGTTTCATAGTCCACTAATCATAGTATAATTACTATGATTAAATGTAGCAGATGGACTAAATTAACAATGTATGCAACGAAACAAAACAAATTGAATGTAAAGGTTTTTGTGTTGTTGTTTTTTTGTTTATATGGGTGGTGAATGAGTGCATGCACGATGTATTCATATTCCTTGCCAATTTCGGAAGTTCATTCATTTCAATAATTAAATTTGGCACGAAGTTGTCTTAGTGAGGTCAGACTTACAGTTATGCTGATCGCATCTGAACATGCCTTAACTGTGGAAAATTTAATAGAAGCAGATGAATGATCTGCACACATACCAGTCGCTTGGAAAGCTTGACTTTTGTTTGGGGGCAGGAAGGATAGCGTGACTTTTGTTTGGGGCAGGAAGGAAAGCGTGGCTTTGTTTGGGGCAAGAAGGAAAGCGTGACTTTGGTTGGGGACAGGAAGGAAAGAATGACTATTGTTTGTGGGCAGGAAGGAAAGCATGACTTTTGTTTGTTTGGCAAGAAGGAAAGCGTAAATTTCCTCCCTGCCCCGAAACAAACGGGGGCAAGAAGAAAAGTGTGCCTTTTCTTTCGGGACAGGAAGGAAAAGGTGACTTTTGTTTGGGGGCAGGAAGGAAAACGTGACTTTTCTTTTGGGGCAAGAAGGAAAAGGTGACTTTTGTTTGGAAGCATGAAGGAAAGCGTGACTTTTGTTTGGGGGCAGGAAAAAAAGCGGGACGTTTGTTCGGGGGCAGGAAAAAAAGCGGGACGTTTGTTTGGGGGCAGGAAGGAAAGCATGACTTTTCTTTGGGGGCATGAAGGAAAACGTGACTTTTGTTTTTGGGCAGGAAGGAAGGCGTGACTCTTGTTTGGGGGCAGGAAGGAAGGCGTGACTCTTGTTTGGGGGCTTGAAGGAAAGCGTGACTTTTGTTGGGGACAAGAGGAAAGCATGACTTTTGTTTGTTTGGCAAGAAGGAAAGCGTAACTTTCCTCCCTGCCCCGAAACAAACGGGGCCAAGAAGAAAAGTGTGCCTTTTCTTTGGGGACAGGAAGGAAACGGTGACTTTTGTTTGGGGTAAGGAAGGAAAACGTGACTTTTGTTTGGGGGCAGGAAGGAAAGCGTGACTTTTCTTTTGGGGCAAGAAGGAAAAGGTGACTTTTGTTTGGAAGCATGAAGGAAAGCGTGACTTTTGTTTGGGGGCAGGAAAAAAAGCGGGACGTTTGTTCGGGGGCAGGAAAAAAAGCGGGACGTTTGTTTGGGGGCAGGAAGGAAAGCATGACTTTTCTTTGGGGGCATGAAGGAAAACGTGACTTTTGTTTTTGGGCAGGAAGGAAGGCGTGACTCTTGTTTGGGGGCAGGAAGGAAGGCGTGACTCTTGTTTGGGGGCAGGAAGGAAGGCGTGGCTCTTGTTTGAGGGCATGAAGGAAAGAGTGACTCTTGTTTAGGCCAGAAAGGAAAGTTTCACTTTTGTTTGGAACACGTTGGTGGGCGGAGCAGTTAACGTCATGTATCAGAAGTTTTCTCTCCCCTGTCTTCAAAGGCAGAATCATCCTTCCAACATTTTCAGTGTTTAACCAATCTAACCAGCTTCAGTTGCAGTAAAAACTGACATCCCTCACGTGGTATCCATTGACTCCACAATGTTTGTTTTCACGTCCAACCTTTCTCAATGCATAACTGGTTGGTGTTTTATTCAACGAAATGATAGTTACTGTCCATTAACCAAACGTTTCTAAATGTCAAGGTAAATGAACACTACATTGCGCTAATGACGAATGAATTTATAATCTAATGTGAATGAATTCATGCGACCGATGCATGTCGATTTAACAGAATAAATGAATCCTTTTTAACAAAAGTTGGTTTGACAGTAAGTAGAGAAGAGATACACAATAAGATGCGCTTATTAGTTGCAGCGTAAATAGCTAAACGTTCAACTGATAGCTGATCTAGCTACTTACATCAGTTTCTGGTCTAATGAAATATAGTTTGTGACTAAAACAAATTTGCCTGTATTTGAGGTACCATTTTGCTTTGGTGAAGTTATCATTGTCCTTTTGCAGCAACAGTGATGGCATTCAGCTTCTCTGGGCGGTCATAAACGTTTTGGGTAATTTTATGTTTTGGTTGTGGGGGGTGGGGTGTGTGTGCGTGCGTGCGTGCGTGCGTGCGTGTGTGTGTGTGTGTGTGTGTATATAAACAATACAAAATATGGACAATGAAATGTGTGGTACACACGGCTCAGCAGGTACTCATCATTGCGGCTGCATCATAAGATTGTTATAACATACTGGGGGCGGTGGGGTAGCCTAATGGTTAAAGCGTTGGCTCGTCACGCCGAAGACCCGGGTTCGATTCCCCACATAGGTACAATGTGTGAAGCCCATTTCTGATGTCCCCCGCCGTGATGTTGCTGGAATATTGCTAAAAGCGGCGTAAAACCAAACTCAGTCAGTCAGTCAGTATAACATACTGATGAGAAAAGGTGTGGGCATCCCGCTCTACAGATGCAATCGTCATGGACTTCTGGACATGTAAGGAAGTCATCCCCTTGCCATTACATTCTTGCGGATGGCCTTCTGCCATTTTGAATTGTTTAAAATGGATTCCAGTGTGAACAGATCCAGCTGTTTACGTGTTTTCAAAATTTCACACATTTTGGAGAATATTTTGGCCTATATTATATATATTCGCGCACATGCACTCACTTTAGCTTCCTATTGATGCAATAAAATACTTATTATCCCTTACGACTTGCCTGCAATCGATAATTGAAACTTCGAGGCGAACAGCTTGCAAACAGAGAACACTTGCCATATATGGAATGTAAACATTTGCTCCGTACATCGTAAACTGTCGCACGCGGTGTTGTCGGTGTTTGCCGAACTGGCTTCAATCACAAGTTACGCACATGTTTTTGCGCCATATATTAGCGTCTATTTCAGCGGCTAAGTTCAAGATCCAAAGGACTTATAAGATATTCGTGAAGAGCGCGCCAAGAGACATAACTCTATGAGGTTCCCTTGAAATAATGTTCGGCCGGTAGAGAGCACGAGAGTCGATATAATGCAAAGTTGCATTAATTCATTCGAACTTGTTAATTTAATATTGTAATATAAATTACGTAAAAAAAATTAAAATATATTATATGGTAATTTCCTTGAGGGTTGACAGTTATTATTATTGAGAGAATTGCATAATCTATTTTTAGAGAAGTGTGGTGTGAAATAGTGCCTTTAACGATTTTACCAAACCGTGCAAATTACCGAGTTCACATGTATATTAGAACCAATTGCCAATTCTAACGTCAATGTCTTGCCATGGCCTTCCCGATCACCAGATCTAAACAGCTATGGCATGAGCTCGATCGACCGTACGTCAACGTCAAAACACGCCTCAGACACTTCCATAACTGGTTATCGCATTGCACGAAGAGTGGGGAAGAATTCCACAAGAGCGACTTTGTCGACTTATCCAGTCAGTGCCGAGGCGGTGCCGATCAGTAATTGCTGCCAATGGTGGCCATACAAAGTGCTGACTTTGACGCCATCTTGTGGACTCAGTACTCAGAAACACAACAATAAAGGCTGCTATTGTGTTGTCGAGCTCTTTCAGCTTTTTACCATTAAAATTACATGAAATAATTTGTCTTAAATAAAGGCAAATATTTTTTCTAAAAATGGCTCATGCGTTTCTTTTGTTTAAGAGTGTATATATATTCATGTATTCTCTGTAGATCGACACGCACCGGTGTAATGAATTAAAAATTAGTAATGAATAATAATGATCAGTTTACCCTGACATTTAGAAACGTTTGATTAATGGACAGTAACTC